ACCGCACTATTTCTGAATGTGGAGAATTAGTGCGGACAGTCAACTGCAAGTATAAACATGTATTAGCGGGCAACTATTACACTAAGTAACCTCACTTTGGAACTGGTACATCAACCACGGTACCATTGAAATGAACTCGATGCTTTTTGACAATTTCCTGTAGCTCCATTGACAATTGTCCTTCGTGCCACCGACCGCAAACGTCCAAGCCATGCCGCACCGAATCATAGCCTTTCGAGCATAGGTAAGGCCAGCAATATCACGCATACCATTCATAGCGCGAACTGTCTTTGAAGCCAGCTCCAAGAAGAATCGCTTCCCAGGGTTCTTCAGCTGGTGCGTTGTCCACAACCATGCGTGCCAGCTGAACAAGGAGAGCAGGGGAGAACTTGACTCCAGCAGATTTTAACCGATGGAATTCCGAGAGCAATTCAGCGTATACGTACGTAACCCAATCAGCGCGCCGGCGGCCTCTGCCAGAAGCCGCTTTGACGTTCAACCTCTTCGGCCCGGACGCAATAACTGGGTCGATGCTGCATACTTCTCAACCTCCGCGCGCATTTTCCACCAGCGCGTAGCTTTAGAATGGTTTGCCTAGCATAAGGCATTGTTAAATGCATAGCATAATTGAGGACATACCTTGTATTCGCCACGGAATTCTGCCGGGAACGCTGTAATGACACGCATATTGTTGCCATCGATCCCGTTGTCGTCTGCATCTTTGATCATCCAATTGATGACAGCACTCTTTTAGCAACAGGCACGACTTGTTGGAGTTTGCGCTTGCGCTGGTTGCTTGTCTGTTCGTCCTGGTAGTCTTGCTCGACGTCCTCCTGGCGGTCGTCATCTGCTTCCACATTGTGGAATACCACTTCGGCTGCGTGTACGTCCATTGTTCGACGTGGAACTGTTGTGCTGGCTACTGCACGAGCAAATGCAGCGATGATTGGCGATGGTGACGTTAAAGCCTCAAGGGTGCCCAACGCCATTACCATTTCAGAAAATTGAAATCTGCACTATTCCTCCACCACTCAAATCAAGAATTTGCCATCACATATATTCGTGTGGACCGCACTAATTTTGAATCCGCACTAATTTCCAATCCGTACTAATTACGGTAAACGGTGTACTGGAGGTAAGGTTGTGTTGGCGTAGCTACAGTAATGTTCAATCAGGGCCTACCTAAAGCGCAACGATTACTCTTAGCCGCATTCGTACGTTTTAAATGTCGCAAACATTATTGTGTGGAATGGGCTACAAAAGGGATCCCACCATTGGTCCCCATGCATCATGGTGGGGCGCCAGCTGACTGCCACCGACCACAACAGTATATACTCCTGCTGGTTCGTGCCGTTTTACTTATGCTGATCGACACCGTTTCGTGTGCAATGTCGGCTCGGCAGTATTTCAACCAATAGAAAACCGTACATGGTAAATGTTAGTGATATGTTGCTGCTGCGACAACCGCCTCGTCCAAAAAATATTGACCAATCCGAATTCAATCATTTGTCGGTCATCCAATCACGGGGCCGAATTTTGTCGGTTCTTATATGTAGTACTACAGTAGTACTCGTATGTGATTGTAAATACTGCACAAAAGCAATAACATCACCGACTGGGCGGAGTCACAGCGTTACTCCGGTGCAATTAATTTCTGCACATAACGTTAGCTTAGTATTTTTAGCCATGATGAAGCATGCAATGGGTCGAAAGGCCGGTAGTCCCATCAGTTCGTTGTGACAGGAATGCGTATGTAAGCTTGACTGAACGGTATCCAGATTTCTTGAACGTTTTCCCATACCGGTGTAGTGTTTCCCCTTTTTAGAGGTCGGTTCATGGTCTTATGATCGATAAGGCGGTTTACTGTTAGTCTCCATCATGTGCAGCAGGCCGCCATGCGTCGTGCGGTTGTAAAGATGTGCATTGTTGGCGCATTTTCATTGGACGAAATGGTTCGACTTAAAATAGACTACTCGGAGTAATTCGTACTATTAATACGTAACGTTACAGTGAACATCGGGATAACTCGCATGAGCTGTTTTTTATGTACTAAGTTAGTATGAAATTGTATCAGACCGAATCTTCCTGCTCAGAATATTTTTTTGGTACTCCCGATCTCAAAAGTTGTGCTCTCAGATTGGCGCACTGGCAAACAAAATATGACTTTATTCGGCATCCCAGTATTCCATTCGGCATGTACAGTGTACTGTATTTCAGGATGTAGTACTTCTCTGCAGTTGTTTTTACTGAGTAGTAATACTAAGCCACGGTGAGGTGCACAGTGTGCTGTGTACTTCACGTTTGGATGTATTGCCTGTTTTGCAATTATCTGCCTCCTCTGTCCGGATACTGCATTCCCTCATTGACAGGTATTTCTGAGAATAGAAACAGTAGTACTGTTTTACTACTACTACGTAGTAATCAGATAATTGTTCAGTAGTACTTGTAGACCTCTTGACTACAGTACCTCTTGACCTGATCCTAAGGTATACAGTAATGACCTCGGAAAACCGGTATGTATCCCAAGGCTATGTAGTGGACACAAACAAGCCTGCCAAGGCCATTACGCCCCTCTATCAGTCTGAGAATTACATCCAACTTCCTACCACACCATCCATCGCAAGCCCTTTCCAGGGCGTTTTGGCAGCCTACAATGCTATTCTTCATTTTTCATTTTCGCATGAAGTTCTCCCTCCTTAGTGCCATTGCCCTCTTCGCGGCGTCGGCCACCGCCCAAACCAACAACGCCATCGCGGGCATTGACGACAGCGCTCGTTCGCTCAAGGTGTCTGATGCCGAAGGCGATGCCGACATCAACATCAACCGCGCTTGTCACGAACAAAACGGCAACTACATCCCGTCCCTCAAGACAGGAGAGTACTCGACCAGTGCGTTCCACAACTGCTTCCGCACTGTCGCCCAAACCTACGAGTTCACCGATGCGTTGGTCGCCCAAAACCCGACACTGCTGAGCAAGTTTGCCATCTCCAAGACGTACAAGGGGGCAACGATTTACGGGTACAAGTTGTCTAAGGGCCACTCGCAGTCGCTGTACTTTCAAGCCCAGGTACACGCCCGCGAATGGATCACGGGGTCGTCGATTGTGTTCTCGTTGGCGTCGATTCTGGATGACATTGCCAACAAGAATCCCACGGCCGCCGACGAGTACGACTTGTACTTTGTGCCGATCGTCAACGTTGACGGCGTCGAAACCTCATGGGGCGTCCGTCGATTCCTGCGCACGAATTTCTTTGGTGTCGACTTGAACCGTAACTGGCCGACTCCCTTCGAGAACCCCAAACCCCCTGTCAAAGGCGACGAGGATTGGCCCGGACTTTGGCCGCTCAGTGAGTCTGAAAACGAGGGCATCAATGATTGGTTGAAAACCAAGCGCAATGAAATCCAAGGTTTCATTGACTTTCACTCGACGGGGGGGCTCATCTTGTACCCGTACGCAGACAATGGCGAGCCCATCGGCGGGGGATTTGATGAGAAGTTCGAAGTCCTCGGCCGTGGATTGCAAAGCGCCTTGGGGGCGTACACCCCTAAACCGGCGCACAAAGTTTACTTGGCGTATGGTATATTCTCAGATTACGCGTTCCGCGAGTTCAAAAAGCCCGCCCTGACGATTGAAATTATCGGCAATGCATTTAACGTGAACGCGTCGACCATCCCGATACGCGGCCTTGAAGTGTACAAAGGCATCAACCAATTCGCCAAGGAAGTCACCGTGTTCAATGGCTGATACGTCACGCCCACCAAGCCGTCTTGTGGAGATTAGCAGCCATGAGTTCGACTTAAAAGTCAAACCGTATTGTGTCAATCAATGTTACTATTAATATCTTCGTTTCGTGGTTTTCAACTCCCAAGTACAGTGTAGTCTACACTGTACTCCTAGGTAACGTAACAATGACATCATGAAACAAACCAGGTCTTACAGTAATACTTGCTAAAAGTCTCTACTTAGTACTTATTGTCGATTTTCTTCAAATTTCCCAATTCTGCATGTTTCGTTCAATCGAGCACAAATAGAGCCGAGACATCTGATTGGCTATTATGCACTTCGCTGTTTTCAGTAGAAACTCAAAAATGGATTGTAGCCAATCAGCGACAAGTAATTTCGGATTGACCAATGGGAGAGATTGGTGCTCGGGCAGGTGCCGCCAATGAGAAGGTAAAGTTATTATAATCACGCTTGCGACGCCGCATCAATCCGGCGTCGCAAGCATGGCCACGATTCTTATGACCATTTCAGTGTTCACGTGCATCCGCCTCGACCCCGTCGCTCCATGTGTCCCGGTTCATAGCACTCTCTTCCCACCCAAACAATAGTCTGGTCCGAAAACTCAGCTCCAACATTCATGGACGTGCGCTTTGAAGTGCGAATGATATGGCGCTGCAGATCTGACATTTGCAGAACGAGTTGGATGCGCGGCAATCTCCGCGTCAGATCATTCGCACTTCTCGTTTCCAACACTATACATCCCTAATGCAGCCTCGTTACCATCAACGACTGCATGTACCCATGTCGTTGGATGTTAAGCTGCGTGCGACAATGTCGAGTCGCCTAAGGTGATGTTCGGGCTTCAAACGTGTGTGCTGTAGCTTGTTGGTAGTTTGTGGGCTATGTGTAGAGCGAACGTGTAAGGCAAGAATTCATAATAAGTTAGTTGCGGTAGACTGAGTTACAGTAGTGCGTAGGTGTAACAGCATCTCCGCCGCTCAATATCAATGGAAGTTGAGATGAGTGAGACTTGGTTTCGTCACGAGTACCCGAATGACGCCAGCAATTGCAGCCTGCAAGTGGTTTTCAATGATGTTGCATATGCAAGCCTGTGTTATTGTCGGCACTCATTACTCCTAGCTCAAGCACGTATAAGTTATTAAGCAACGACTGGTAGTTACAGTAGCCCCATGCATATGTGCCGTGCTTCAATTTCCCTGGTGGCTAAAGGTCAAATATGCAGTTTTGGCAACCCCAACGGTGCGACGGTATCTACCGGAAACGGCATATTTTTACCGCGAGACGGCAAATCGGCCATTTTTACCGTTTTGTGACCACCCGACGGTAAAATACCGGAGCCAATCATAAACCCACAAACCAGCATATTTCCAATAAAACGCATGTATTTGAGCATGGACATTACCATACCAATACTACACTGCTGGAATGGCTCTCAACGGGCGGGGTGCGAACTTCACCACTGACGAGGACTGCTAGCTAGTTTGTTCGTGGTTGAACATATCCCAAGATGAGTCTAAGGGGGGCGGGCATAAGGCCGAGCAGTTTTGGGCCCGCGTGGGGGCGACTATTGCACCTATGGCGATCCGGACTGCCATCGCACAGTACGATCCTTAGCTACCTGGTGGAGCAACATACTGGAGTAATGCAATAAGTTTGTTGGGTGTTCATTATGGTCTCTTTTAAGGTGCGGTCTTGGCCCCGGTGTTTGGCGTGGTCCGTTACTCATGCTTAGCATCTCCCAAGCGTCGTCCATGTCCTCATCCATGCCTCGATGGTATTGCACAATGTTGACGCCAAGCTTCCATATCCGGAAGTGACAGTTATGCGGATTTTATACCGTTTTACCGTTGGGGTTGCGCAAAAGTAAAATACAGTGAGGGTAAACGTCAAAATACAGTCTGATTATACCGTCGCACCATTGGGGATGCCCTTATACAGTAGTATTACTCGATCAATTTTTCACCAATCGAAAATCTGAACCCGTAACTTCTGTTAGTTCTATCGTTATTGATATCTCCCTAAAAAATATCAATACAAAGTTGGCATACTGTAGTTGTCGAAAGACAAAGCATTTTTTCATAGTCTTTAAATGACTTGCACCCATACCGGTAGCTAAACTTTTATTTTAAAGATTATACTAAAAAAAACTACTTTATTTTGAAATTATATTTATTTAATATTTATAAGAATATTAAATATGATGTTTGTGAATGTGACGTCATCTTGCTCTGATGATGATGTCCAAGTCGTGTGTCGTCCCTGTGTGCTTGTATTTCATGAGTGTAAGTTACCACCACGCATCTGACAAATCTGCCCCAGTGGTCACGGGAATCCTGCTTCGTTAGCGTATCGCTCAACAATCGCACCAGCCCCAATTCCGTTTCCATTCATGACGTCAGCCTTTTCTCGTGTGCTCAAGTGTCGATTGTAATGACGTCTGCAACATGCTGTTTCGTGACTGGTACAGAGCGACCTCTGTTCCCATCACTTGTCACACGTGATGTCCAAACAGTAAACACATTTCTCCACGCAAACCAACAAGCGCTCGCTCGCTCTCTCTACCTGTACCACACTTCAGTGATCACGAGATTCACCAGATCGGTTTTCTCCTTTGTGACATACTGAGTACCATAGTATCCTTAAAATAGCTCGACACTTAGATTTGTCCACACCAAACTTCAACTGGCCTCGTTCCAATCAGGTGCGTTTCATCATCGTGGTCGCTGGCATGACGCCCCCTTCGCCGCATCTGTTCACTACATTCCATCATCCTCGCTGCGACCGTCACGAGTCGTCGTGTGATATCACCACCAGCTTTTGGATGATCCAGTCCTTGTTGTCGCACACATCGCAAAACGTCATTTCCCAACTCATGTGGTGGTTCCATCTTCCTACTTCGTCGTCGTCGGCTTCGATCGCGGCATCCTTCATTTCCTGCGTCTCCCGTGTCAACTTCTCCATGGCGTTGTACATCGCGACCTCCCATGTCCTCGCCATCTTCGCCCTGCAGGTTCTCCCATCCTGCCGGTGGCAAACCCTCGTGTTCACCGGCATGCTCTTCTACACGGGTGTGCTCGGCGTCACCGCCGGCGCGCACCGCCTCTGGGCGCACAAAAGCTACAAAGCGCACGGCCTGGTTCGCGTTGTGCTCATGCTGTGGCAGTCCACGTCCCTCCAAGGCTCCATCTTCGACTGGAGTCGGTGGCATCGACTACACCACAAGTTCGCCGAAACCGACCTCGACCCGCACAATATCCACCGCGGCCTCTTCTACGCCCACATGGGATGGCTCGTCATGCGCCCGACCTCGCGCATGGTGGCCGCCGTCGCCGCCGTTCCCTGCGACGACCTCCTCCAGGACTGGGTCGTTGCAATGCAGCACCGTTTCCACTGGGTGTTGAACCCCATCATGTGCTTTGCCATGCCCGTCGCCGTGTCGTCCTTTTTGTGGCGCGAGGACTGGACCACCGCGCTCCTCGTCGCCGGCTTCCTCCGCCAAGTACTGGTGATGCACGCCACATGCGTGGCTAACAGCGTCACACACATCGTCGGGTCCAAGCCGTACAACGCCGTCCTATCCGCCCGCGATAGCCTCTGGGTCGCGCTCGTGTCGCTGGGCGAGGGATACCAGAACTGGCACCACCAGTTCCCCCAAGATTATGCCGCCGCGGAGGACGAGTGCCCGTGGCAATTCAACGCGACCAAGGCGTTCATCGACGGATGTGCCATGGCGGGACTCGCGGGCCACCGACAGCGAGCGCTGCACTTGTGGGGCCAAAAGAAGTACGTGCTGCGGTCGCGCCTCTTAGACGAGCTGCGGCCGTTCCGGACCTGCAATCCTAGTAGTACTAGTAGTACTAGTAGCCATGTTGGGACTCGATTGTCGAGCGAAACCATGAAAAACTAATCCAAACTACCTATTTATGACATTGGTCCTTGAGATCACTCAGGTTTACTGTTAATATTGACTGCGGTTAGAACTTGGGCGAGAACTACTCAAACATGCTCCAAGATATGAACACCAAGTATTATGTGTATTCGCTATAAACCTCCAAAATTCGTGCAGTTTAAATCACTTTGGAGTTGTGATTGGTTGAATATACTTGTCCTTGCTGTAAGAGCCAATCACGTCCACATGAAATTGGAGTAGCCAATCGCGTCGATTCGTGATTCGATGACGGGGTCTGGAAATCTGTACCGAATCACAATGTAAGTACTATTAATTTTACTATTAAAATAGTAATACTTTACTACTGTTCAGTAGAGTTTCAGGTTGGTTCGATCCACTTTTCCCAGTAGTGTACCAGTTAGGGCATCCCTAGACAAACGTTATGATAGTACTCGTAAACTGTATGTGTGTTGAGGCTACTAGTAGTACTAACGTTAGTAGTAGTACCCGTGGCTATTGGACAAGTATTATGTAGTCACATGTACTAACTAGGTAGTCTGGTGCACGTTTGTCTGGTTGGTTTTACGTAGCCTTGGGGGTGGTCCAGTCGGCGCCAATGGGTCCAAAGTCGTTGATGATTTCACGGTGGCAGCTCCACACGAGTTTGATCGCTTCGGGGGTGCCGATGGCGCCGGCGCGGGGGTCGCCGGCGGGGCCGAACCAGTGGTTCTGGGGGGCGCCCGTCGTGCGCGCGCGGATGCCGTTGTACGTGGTGCCGTTGACCGTGTTGGCCAGAATGTGCTGCTGGAACGCGATGTCGCTCGACACGACGGATGCCGTCAGGTGCGCCTCCATGCGCTCGAGCATGCCCAACACCGTCTCGACGTCAGCGTCCGAGTCATATTCCGTGATCACTTGGAACGGCCCAAAGATCTCTTTGGTCACGAGCTCAAAATGCTCGGGCTTGGCTGCTTCCGACAACGGGACGAACACGGCCGTGGGTTCAATCGCGCCATAAATCGACGGAATCGAATGGTTTTCTAGTTTTAACAATACCACGGTCAGTCAAATGAGTCATATGAAAGCTTAAATATCAACGGAAAGAAAAGTTGGGTCTATTCTTGAAAATAATTTTAAAAAATATTGTGAATTCGCTATAAACTTCCAAAATTCACCTGGTTTGTCGAATCAATATTGAATCACGCCACAGTTGTGATTGGTTGAATATACTTGTCCTTTCGAGCCAATCAAATCCACTCAAAAATGGAGTAGCCAATAGCGTCGATACCGGGATTCGATGGCGAGATATTCGATTCGACGGGGTCTGGAAATTCGTATCGAATATACCACAATAATAGCAAAACACACATGTTCAAACGGATCAAAAACTACCATGTTTTGTATCGATTCGGCCAAATGTATATCTATGCATCTCCGTGGAATCGCCGAATCATAGGATCTGACTGATAGATTGGCTCTGACAGAAACGACAAGAATATGCAGCCAATCAAAACGTTTAGTGCCAGTCAAATCCGAAAACCACGCAAATTTTCAAACATTTTAGAGAAAATTCACCAATATTTGCTCAAAACGTACTCAATTCCTTGCCGCCAAAAGCCAACCGAGCGCCGGGGATCTTGAGAAGGTCGTCGACGTGGTCCAGCATGCGCTTGGTGGTGACCGTGAGCACGGGGCCGATGGTCAAGTCGTCCAGCTGGCGACGCGAGGCCAGAGTCTTGAGCTTGTCTTCAATTCCTGCCTTGGCCCTGTGGATAATTTTAAAAAATCAGCGTGAATTTCGACATTTTTTGGCCGAAAACACGACAAATGAACCAACCAGTTCTTATGGTAAAACAAGATGGATTGCGCCGAGCACTTTTGCCCCGAGCACGCGTACGCGTCTTGGTCCGACACCCACGCGACGTAGTCGACGTCCGACACATCGGGTCCCAAAATCTAAACAAAACGATCGGTTTAGCCGAAAATATCACTCAAAACATGTGAAAATTTGGCTGAAACATGGACAAACCTTCCAATCGAACCCAGCATCTTCCAACTTGATGCGGCCCTTCAATTCCGTTGCCAACTTTTCGGCCACCACCGACGACCTAGAATGAAAAAACATGTCAATTTACATGTCAAAACGGTCAAATCGTGTCAATAAATGAAAACGACGAAAAAATGCATTTTGAAACAAAAACAATAAAAAACGGACGATATTTATATATCAAATCGGTAAAAAAAGTGTCCATATAGATTGTGGATTCGGTATAGATTTCCAGACCCCGTCGAATCGAATCACGAATTGACGTGATTGGCTAATCCAATTTTGAGTGGATTTGATTGGCTCGTACAGAAAGGACAAGTATATTTTCAACCAATGACAACTTCCAGCGTGATTCAATATTGATTTGACAAAACCACGCGAATTTTGGAAATATATAGCGAATTCACAATATATACCAAAACGTGCCAAAACAAATAACTTTTTGTCATACAATCCATCCACATGTGAGTATATTCCTCAAATATATATATATATATATATAGATAAATATATACCCCGTGAACAAGGTGTTTTTCGGGTTGCCCTTGAGCAGCAACTCGTTCATAACAGGGCCGTCCGAGTTGATGAAGTCCACGTCGGTAAGCGGCATGCCGCACGCGTGGAACATGCGCAGCGCTTCGTACATGACCACGGCGACCTTGGAGTCGAGCTTGAGAGTCACGCGGTTGCCCATGTAGAGCGCGCCGAGCAGCTGCAGGATGGGGATCTCAAAGGGAAAGTTGAACGGCGTGATGAGCGCCACGGGACCGTACGGCCATCGGTGGCCGGTGCTCATTTGACCCAAGTGGTCGCCGGGCACGCCGAACGAGCGCGCGAGGAAGCGCACTTGGTCGCCAGAGAAGTTTTCCAAGAACTTGCGGGTAACCACCACTTCGTTCTTGGCTTGGATGTAGCTTTTGGGCGCGACGCGTTGAATCAACCGGATGAAGTAGTGCTCGATGTGGGGTTCACGGAGCATCGCGGCGGCTTTGTGGGAGATGTCGCCGTACAACAAGTAACGTTCCACGTTCTTGAACGGGTTGTGCAGCCCGTGCTTGGGCGTCGAGCGCAAGTTGTCGATGAACGGCTTCAATTCGTCCTTTTGCGTCAGCGGCACTTGCAAGAACACTTCGCCGGTCAATGGATCCTTGATGCCCTCGGATTTCTTCGTGCTCACCCACTCGCCATTCACTACACGGCAACCACGTAAGCTTCATTCAAACAATCAACCTCAGATCTGGTAAATACTGTCGTACCCAAGTTGTGGATTTCGGCAGGGGATGCACCAGACAGCGTCTCAGGGTTCACCTTGGCCCACGAAGGCAACGCATATGCAGTAGACGCATTGCGCCGGAGGGCCGACGTGAGAGGAGCGGCACGGAACAGGGCACGAGACAACATGTGCACCTTTTCGAGAATGATGCAAAAGGTGCACCATGGGCTCAAAAGCGAAGTTCGAAGTGATTGCGCTTGCGTCATTCAACCAATCAAATGATGTGCCATGATATCCGGAAATATATCCGGAACGACTACCTGTGATTGCAATGTGATAGAAGAACCGAAGTTTGGATTTCCTTCGAAGGCTTCAAGCCGTGAACTCCAACATGAAGTAAGCGATGGACGATAGAGGCGGCGCCAAGGAAGTGTATCAGCAGTAGTTCGAGTTGATCATGCATGAGCATGTGATAGTCGCATACTTCCCGAGCATGCTCCGCGCGACGTTGCTGTGTGAGGTGCTTGTCGTACTGCACGTTCTCATTGTACAGATCAATCAAGAGCACTTCGCGATCTTTGACGCCAAGAGGTGCGCTCATGATACAGCATACTTCCAGGCTCATAGCCTACTAATGCTTGTTTGACTGACGACTACGACGACAAGAGATGTTGCATTATAAGTATGAATCTATTTTCTATTCGGACCGTACAGCGCTGCTTCCTTCGCTGATGCTGCTCGCTCCGCTATGGGTACATTTGTCGCTCCTGTCCATCCAGAATCTGCTGCGTGAAGTTCAGGGATTGATCCTTTCGACCAGGACATTGTTTTCTTCGCGTTGCAGCTAGCTCGTCACATTGAATTGGACGTGGGCGTTGTCCTCACCGAGGGCTATTGTTTGTCGGGCTCTTGGTTGGTCTCAACGTGGATGCCTGTGACGCCATTCCTCCGTCCTTTTGCCCCTCGCTTCGCGAGCTCCTCTGGCGTCAGACTCCCAATGTCAATTCCATCGTCCTCGTCGTCATGTGTGTCGGGTGTGTCGGCTGGCGTCGGGTCCATCGTTCGTGCTGCTTGTCGCAATGATCTCAAATCCCCCAGAGCTGTCAAAACTTAAACTGACCAATCAGACGGTCAAACTGAGTCCGATCAGGTGTCGAAGCATATTATGTTACAGAGGCTTTTACACGACAAATAGAAAACTACGACAAATCAACATATTTAATGATAGAGTATATCGAAATGAAAAGGCTTTTCAACTTCAACACAAATCTTTTGGTGGGTTCCGAGATGCTCGCGCAACATCATGATGGGAGCAGCGGTACCACGGCAGCTGAGATGACACAAGACCATCCAACTCGATTGGAGGATCGACATGACGACGCACACGACACGCTTACACCCGTCAACGTGTCACGTGCGACCAGGGCGAGAAACGCTCCTAATTCTCTGCCCAACGCAGCTCTGGCGTACCAGGTACATGCACGACAGAGGACGAGGATGCATAGATCCACTTATAGGTTATAGTTCTATATGTCAAGCTTGCTCCTTTGTCCTCGAACAAGATCGCCACGGGATGTCCTTGTACAGTGTGGGTTCGACATTGTATTCAAGTTCGTCTTGACAGTTTAGTTGTTCAATTCATCCACGGAAGCATCGTCGGGGCGATACTTTGTCGGATCGATGCGATACCTATGAGCATGATCAGTCGGGATTCGAGGCTATAGCCTTTACATGTTGCCATATTGAATCGTGGGCGTATGGTCGCTGTCGACATCCACAATGCACACGGCCATGGCTACAAGTTGTTGTGTTCCTCGTAAAGAAAATCAACCGACGACACAATGAGAACACGTACTGCTTGCATCCAGCATGCGATATGTGATCGTGACCATCGAGTCATGCAGGCAAAAGTTGAAGATCGCTACACTCGCTTCGGGCTTAAACAAGCCGTGGCATGTGGCGCCTTCGAAGCTCCACTCCATGAACGTGCCCTTGTCGTCGGGAATGAACTATCGTCGGAAGGAATTCAGTACAAATATCAAGTCGAACAACCCCTTGGAAGGCATGAACCTGAATCGTATATGCAGCTGTAAGCTCGTTCTTCCGAAGGCCGCGTCCAAACGACCACTTGAGAAACCTAGCACCAAGTCAACGTGTGGTCATGGAGGAACGAATGCGTGATGGCTCAGTGCGTACGTACTTGGTGTTGGGTTGCTTCGCGGCGGTCGTGTCTTCTTCAATGACCACGACGTTGTTGGTCGTGCGAACGTGACCAAAGGTCGACCCAAAGTTCCTCCATTCTAACGTCCGCTTCCACGTACCCACAAGGTATGCGCTGAAGTCGCCGTCCTTCACCTCGTACCGCGTCGTGCTCATGGTCTGCTGAGTTCTCCTCGCGCGAAATAGTGGATGATCGAAAATGAATTAGAAAGCTCAGTTTTATTTTAGATCCAACAAATACAATTGAACTTCAGTATGAAAACACAAGGAGTAATTAAAATAGAGCGAGCTATTGTATATATTGAACGTGGACGACTTGCTTTGACGATGTCAACTCAAAATGACCTCCAACGACAAGCCGGACGCAGGGTCCACCGCGTGGAGCTGTCGATTCCGCAACGCGACTCGATAGGGCGTATCCCCATCCATCGTATGTGCTGTCTTATCTGCTCCGTTATCCACCAAGACAGCAGCCACTGCTGCATGTCCTCTCCCTGCAGCCACATGTAGGGCAGTCGATCCGTCCTCGGGCTAGTCGCAACCATGCCATTCTTAATGCAGTTTAAGTCGCAACGTGACGTACGTCCTTATACGACACAGACGCCCCCGCGTGTAGGAATTTCCGCACAATGTCGGGATGGCCCTTGTCCACCGTCGCGAGCCACAAGGACGTCCCATGCCGCTACGTTTACATGACACCACGGCTCAGTAATGGTTCATCCTGCAGTCATGATGAATACCGTAGTACCCGAGGCTGCATTGGCCCCATTCACCAGCAAATACCCCACAACGGGCGCGTGGCCTTCCTCGACTGCAAACATGAGTGCCGACACGCCATATTTCTACCACTTGTCCATTGCACACTTTTGTATACCATGGCATAGTTACGTTGGTAGCGTCCACGTCGATGCCCCACGCCACCATGGCTTGGATATCGTCTAGGTTTCCGCGACGTGCAGCTTCGACGAAGTCGTCTGCCGTGAACTTGCGGCTGACTAACATCTCGTACTTCGATGAGTAGATAACTTCCACGACGACATCACACGACGGAATCAAAAGTAACGTTAGATGAAATACTACCTCGCAGCAAATGCACAATCGAGGAGTGCCCACGTTGCATGGCAAGGGCTAGCGGGGTTTTGTGTTTCGTCTACAGGAAATGCATGAGTGATTCACATATCAGATGGTGCGGACGTGCCGTCACACAAGAACCATCGGCGCCATGAGCCAAGAGCCATTCAACGATCTCGTTGTGGCCATTGGCAGCTGCAGCATGCAACGCCGTCCATTCCAGTTCCTATCCAACAACACTCGTGAGTTTCACCTGGTTGAGCTGACCTACGGAATGCGTGGCGTTGATCGGGATCGTCTCAAGCCCTGCTTTAACGTATGACACTACTCCTTTCTGCGCTGCTTCGACGAAGGCGTCGACGTCGCGGCCCTGCGCGACCAGCAGATCAAAGCGATCGACATCATGGTCGACAGTGGTTGCAAGATCCGCCATCCTCGAAACTCCTATATGTTATCGAAACGTAGTCGGATTGGCTTTCTATATTTGCGACGAAACGCCAAACCTATAAATCCGGGCGTTTCATTGGCTGGAATATACAACCCGACGACGCATTCTCTCAAGGCCATTGGTCCAAAAAAAGCAAAAGAAAAACACAACGTCGTTACTTAGTGGTTGCGCTTGGCGTTCAAGACCTTGACGACTTCGTCCATGAACGGTTCCGTGGTCAAGTATTGGTCGGGGGTGACGTTGGACGTGCCGTGGACGCAGATGGCCAAGTCCTTGGTCATGTGGCCGGCTTCCACCGTTTCGATGACGGCGGCTTCCCAGTCGTGCGTGAACTGGATCAGCTCTTGGTTGCCGTCCAGCTTGCCGCGGTGCGCCAACCCGCGCGTCCACGCGTACATGGACGCGATGGGGTTGGTGGACGTGGCCTTGCCCTTTTGGTACTCGCGCCAGTGGCGGGTGACCGTGCCATGGGCGGCTTCGGCTTCGACGGTCTTGCCATCCGGCGCCAACAGCACCGACGTCATCAACCCAAGCGAGCCATAGCCTTGGGCGACAATGTCCGACTGGACGTCTCCGTCGTAGTTCTTGCAGGCCCAGACGAACCCGCCGTCCGACTTGAGCGCCTGCGCCACCATGTCGTCGATCAAGCGATGCGTGTAGCTGATGCCCGCGGCGTCGTACTTGGACTTGTATTCGCTTTGGTACACTTCTTCAAAGATGTCCTTGAAGCGACCGTCGTACTTCTTGAGGATCGTGTTCTTCGTGCTCAAGTACAAGTCTTGCTTCTTGGTCAACGCGAACGCCAAGCACGAGTGCGCAAACGCGTAGATGGACTCGTCCGTGTTGTACATGGCCAAGCCGACACCGGCGCCTTGGTAGTCGTACACTTCCCACGATTGCGGCTTGCTGCCGTCGGCGGGGGTGAACGTCATGTTGAACTTGCCAGGGCCAGGCGCGACAAAGTCCGTGCACTTGTACTGGTCACCGAACGCATGGCGACCGACCACGATGGGCTTCTTCCACCCAGGCACCAAGCGAGGCACGTTCGAGATCACAATGGGTTCACGGAACACCGTGCCGTTCAAGATGTTACGAATCGTGCCGTTGGGCGACTTCCACATCTGCTTGAGCTTGAACTCCTTGACGCGCTCCTCGTCGGGGGTGATGGTCGCACACTTGATGCCGACGTTGAACTCCTTGATCGCGTGCGCCGCATCGATCGTGACTTGATCGTTCGTCTGGTCGCGGTGGGGCAAGCCCAAGTCGAAGTACTCGATCTTCAAATCCAAGTTCGGGTGCACAAACTTGGCCTTGATTTGGTCCCAAATCACACGGGTCATCTCATCCCCGTCCAAGTCCACGATGGGGTTGGCGACGGCGATCTTCTTCACCGACGAGACTACATGAAGAATTGACAAAGCATGAGATACATATACACGGAGTGGGTATGGCAGCGGTGCCTACGTACACGAGCGGCGGGCGGCAAGAGTCTTGGCAAGCATGGCGACAGCTAAGCGTCGAAATGAACAATGGCGAAATCCCCACGAAATCCCCAGCCAAATCCAACCCCACATGCTCGTTGCCTATTGAATCCTCTTGAAGGAGGGACGCCGTCACAACGACGTGGTAGAGGACCTCATGTTTAACCATACAAAAACCAAGGTATATTCGGAGTTGCCTCAATATACTGTAAAACGTCGGTACATTGGTATATGTGGATTCATCCGACATGTCAACCCCCTCTTGTATTTGTAGTGGGTGAGACAATCTGCGTCGTTGATTGGCTGATTTTCAATTTGAAATTTGATTGGTGCATTCGATTTGTTGACATTATATGATTGGCTGGAGGATATTGAAGCAACCACTCAGACGATGTGGCTTGTTGACTGGATCGAGATCATCGTGCCACTCATATGGACGGGTGTCACGACTTGGGATATGGGGCAGAGTTTGTCTGTAAGTTGTTTTAGGAAGATGCAACCTCCACGTTGGTCCTTTGCTCCGTCTTGTTTGATGCGAAGCGTGGCAAAGCGTCACGATGTGTGATGCGAATGAGTATAAATACGGACAGTTGGCCAACCAAATTAACAACTGGCGACGGAAATTTCTTCTGGCAATTCTTGACATGCATTGCTTTGTCAATGGATTGAACGGCGGCATACCAAGCTACGTTCCAATTTACAGGCAGGTACTGTATTAATAAATAATGAACCTTTTGCAGTTAAAACGGACACACATCGGCAGATTAAAAAGTAATTGTTAACGGTGGTGTGCCCAACTAAAACCTCGTGTGCCCGTTTACGTTTGGCGACTCGAAAAAGTGTCGTGTGCCGATTGGAAACGAACACCGCAACTCTCTTCGTACACTAATATAGTACTCGTACACTATGTAAGTTAATAATATTAATACTACGTAGTAATAATAATTGTTATCGTACCTAAACAACGAGTATAAAAGTAACAGTCCTGTGAGTCCGTTACGATATTTGAGTTCTGACTTGTGGAGCTGGACAGTGAATATCAATCAATTCGCGCGCGCTTTCGTTTCTACTACGGTACACTTCAACCTTATCCAATATTCGAACGCTTTCGCGCTCACTTGTCAATTTAGGCATGTGTTTACATGAGATCGTCTTTTGAGTGTTGTCCAGCCGACAGTTTCGCGTGGATCGGTTACTGGCGGCATCAGCTGAATTACGAGTGACTGCGACACCAGCATTTGATCATGGGACGAACGACGGCCCCCCAACGATGCAAGTGGGTCACGCCGAGCTTGTGCATGGCATGTACATTTCACCTCTTCTGACCCGATTCCAAGGGCTGGAGGCGGTGGCAGGGTTCTGTACATGCTCGTGTCGGTTCTCGCCCAAGTCTGCTGTTTCCGTACCTCGCCAACGATATGTGTTGGCCAGAGTTCAATTATACCAAACGTTCTTGGGGGACCTGTGCAACCTGCGCTTGGGGACGTCGGCGTCCCCCGCATTTGGCTTGCTCGCGCACTCCATTGCACTGGCAAAAGACTACAGCTCGCCGTCATCCGTCGTGACTCAGAGCCCGACGGGTCGTGCTCGAAAGCACCACAGGCTTGAAAGACATCATCCAAGGCATCCACGCCAGTGATCAAAGACAACATGCGAACACTGGTGCAGTACTGTTGGGTGGACGTGTAGAAGCGGTTCGAGATGGCCAACACCACCGCGAGGCAAGTGAGGTGTCCCTCCACCGACAGCGACAACACCGCGGTGCACCTGGAAGCAATCTTGCGCAACTTCCGGTGGTCGGATGTAGTGCACGAGTACGGAGGCGGGGATGATGGGGGGAGTTCAACACGGCGATCGCGTCCGGCGTCCGGGAGCTTCGGGGGGGCATCGACTGGCTGGCGTCCGTCCCCGATGCGTTTGCCGATGTGGCGTCGGAGGCGGCGTTGTGGCGGTCCAAGAACGCCACGAGGTGACAGCTCCCGTGGCAGAACACGTGACAACCGGGAGTCGAAGAGACTATCCGCGTGGAGAATGCCCTTGGCATGCACCAGCACTTTACGATCAAAGCGCTAGTGTACGAACACCGCGGGTCCGGGTGGAAGACGTCGCTGTTGTACTACGGCCTCTGGAACGACCTGACGTTTGCTATGCAAGCAAACCGATCGTTGGTTCGCAACACAACCAAGTATTCGTACGAAGAAACCGTGTTCCCTGCCTACGCCGGGGTGTCGCTGTCGTCCGTGTCGGCCGTGCCGTGACAGGTGAGTGTGGGTCCGTTTGGCACGATCGACGCCAAGCTCGTGGTGTGCCCCCCACGTGTCCTCGGCCAACTTGCTTGCCTTTGAAGCGATGTTCACAGCTGTGTGTTTGGCGAATGCAACAACACGGCACATCGCGCAACCGATTCCCGAACCCGGGAAGCCCATTAACCCCACGCCCGCGGCGTGGTCGGACCGACGGCTGGCCTACTACAGCGCTAACCCGCTGTGCCTGCCCAACGGCGCCGGCACCATGCTGCTCGTCCAGGAAGTTTTCACTTTTGAAGACCCGTTATAAGCCAGGATCGATTTACCATGAGGTGGACACGACACAGCGTGGCGTTTGCACGGCAGCAACCCTAATCATGCCAAAATCCAAAGCCGGTTGGAATTTGTCCGTCGCCACTACGTACGCACTGGTGTCCACAAGTTCACTCTCATCCTGTTTGCGGGGAGTGGCCACCACTGACTTGGTCGTCGGCGTTGTGGCGCTCAACTCGTCCAACGAAACCGCCCTCCGCGAAGTTATGCGGGCGGTGCGTTTGGCTCAATATGGGGTGAATGCGTCGTCGAGAATGTACTTTTCCGTGCAGCAACCCGTGGTCCTATCGTCCGACGTGGCGTGGTCGTTCTTTGGATGGGTGATGCTACACGACTGGGTGAGTCAGCGGCACGAAGTCGTGCTCTTTGAAGGCGACACGGGGCGGTCACTCACTCTCATTTCAAGGGCAGTGCCCATCCAGGCGTTCTCTCCTCCATCGATAGGGGGATCTACCTCCGCGCGATTTCGCTGTACATAACGTACAGCTTTGCGGTCGTAGCGGCCATGCTGCTCGTGTACGACGCGTCCGTTCGGTTCCAAATGCTCGGCCGGAACCTGTTTCGGTTCAACCGCGTGGCGGGGTTTGTCTGGATCGGACGCACGCTACTGCTTGTGCGGGGCATGACCAGCGTGATCTACCTCAGTACGTCCAACCTGTCGGTCGCCAACGCAAACGGCCTCGTCTTCTTTGCGTGGCAGCCGCGATCGATGGCCACGCATCTCGTCGTGACGGGGGAAGCCACGTGGATCGCGTACGTTGTCCAGAATTTCCTCTTCGCGTTTGCGAGCAACCACGCGTACTACGCCGCGCCATTGAGCTCGGCATTGTGCAGGGCGGTGCTATTCCTGGCCAACGAGATCGCCCCGTTGCAGGCCTCTGCGACTCTGGAGTAGGCCAAACAGGTGGCGTGCACCAGTGGATCCGTGGAAATCGGCTAAGCGCGCCAGGTGGTGCAACATGTGACCGGGGAGTTGGCCATGCCGCGGCGGTGTACATGGGGGTCGTCGTGTTCAAGTGGCGGCGGCATCCGCCCCCCATGTCACTGATGATTGCCGGGGCGTCCGAGGCGTACTTGGACTTTGTCTCAAATACATCGACACCTGTCGATTTCGACAGCGTGATGAGCGGGATCCTCGGCCTGCGGCTCTTCCACGTCACGTACGCGTTTGACGTCAAGTCATGGACGTTGCGCAGCCACGACATTCAGCGCGGTCGGCGGTTGAGTCAGCAGCTCAAGCTGTCGCATGCCCCGACGGTGGTCAAGTCGATAGTGGTGCTAGAAGGAGAAGAAAATAGAGGAGGATTTTGTCCAGGCGCTTTCTGCGGCGGGACAGTCTCCTCGCGCTCGGGTGCCTGATGTACGATGACGTCGCTGGCCAGCAGTGTCGTGTTCATCGACGCTACACGCGTCAACATGGTCAAAGACTTTTGGTGGGCCACGTTCAACTAGTCCGGCACGCAAGCTTTCTTGGGCCACTGGTTTACCAAGCGAATGTTGGTGTTTGGACCAAACAATACCATTAACAACCCCGACGACATTACCCTTCACAAGTATGGCGACTTGATGCTGTACAACTCGACCTCGTCCCCCGTGTCCACCAGCACCCTCCACGTGAAAGCGATCCAATTCAGCCTTCTCAACTCGATCCCCCTTGCCATCGACGGCCTCCGTCGCATGGACGATGCATGTTACCGTGGCTAGCCAATCAATACTGCTGGCTCGACTTGAATCGGACGTTTCCCATGGCCAACACCTCCTCCCGGCAACTGCGACGCAGCGCACGATACGCATCCAACGGCGCCGTGTACTTGGAAACGGCGCTGCCGAACATTGTGCTCTCCGACTTTTTCGCGTACGACCTCCAACACTACACGACCCACGCGCAAAACTACAAGCGCGTCGGCCTCGTCAAGGCGTTAGCAATTCAAAATGCATTTGGCATGTCGTTTCCCATGACGATCCAGTCCAGCCAAGGGCTGTTTCAATTTGTCGTCGCAAACCACATACAAACTGTGCTGGGTGGGGGCTCGCCAATGACCTAGCCCTGGTCACGACCAACGTGTCGGCGGCCACCGGCCTCAGTCTTGTCGCCTCGAGAGACAACTTTGCCTATGCCGACGTATCGCTGGAGCAGTAGATGACCGCAAACCTGCTCTTGACGCAGCCATTTCACCGCGTGACTGTCATGTTGAGGCGGCTACTGGGGCCATTCGGATATATCGACGCTCGGTACGTCCCTTGCCCAGACTCGCTCAAGGTTGTTATGGCCCGTATGACGGAAGCAATCGTGGAGCGGCTGGCCGACAACGACGAGCATCCCGTGTTCATGTCGTCTTGGCAAACGCGCCAGTCGCCTTGGATTGGCCTGAGTCGCATCTCGGGTAACTTGCTGTGTCCGACGGCCAGGCGATCGCAGGCACGATCTCCATCGTCTCGCTGTGGGGAAATCGCGGTTGCGGCAGCCTCGCCCACACGATCAACCCCACGCGGCTGTCCAACCGGCTGTCCAACCTCGTTACGGCCATCATTTCTTCAAACAGCACGAACGCATCAGCTATGTGTGAAAACGAGTACAAGACGCCGGCCGTGTGCCTGTCCGTCCTGTAGGCGTCGCGGACGTTCGCGGCCTCGTTCCTGCCCGCGGACGTTATCGCCGCCGAATGGGTCATGGCTGGGCGTACTGCGGCTGCCGCCGACATGGGTAACGTCTGGCTCCTTCAGTCCCAGTGTTCGACGGGGGACGTGCTCACGCGCCTGCTGTTCTTTGACAACTCGTTTTCGTTCTTTTTGTGGGGGTTCGCCTACGACTGGAGACTTGTCGGCGGGAGGTGGTGTCGTTTGAAGGGGACCTCGGGCGCCTCGTGCTTCTGAGCACGTCGACTTTCACCAGCGCCCTCAAGATCCCTGCCAACGCCGCGCTCAACTTTCGCGGGTGCGTCGTGTATATCACGACCCTCCTCGCGTGTGTGGCGGGAATGGCGACTGTGTACATCGTCGCTAGCCTCGGCCGCTGCTGTTTCTTCGGTCGATGGTGGCCATCGGCATGCTCAGCACGGCGTCACTGAACTGCGCCAGCTCGGCCTCGTCACGGTCTTTGCGACCAATCAGTTTGAATGGTACATACTGTTACTGGCGAGGTTGCGATCGCCTTCACGGGGGCGTACACGATGACGCACGTACGACAGCCTCCTCCTGTGGGTGGTTGCGGCCATGGTCAGCGTGTATTTCCCCGTGACGCGTTTGGTTTCTGTGACACGGGCCTGCGACGCGGTGGCAATGGATTTCCAGCTGTCGTGTCACGCGGGCGTCGTGCGCAGTGGTAGCCCCAAGCGGTTCGTCCAGCTCTTGGCCATCGGCGTCGACTGCATGGTGTTTTCATACGTGGTTGAGCGAGTGAGGAGACGACCACACAGGAAAAACGCACGCGCCAACGTGTCGCTGCTGCTGTCCGCGGCAGGCAAGTCTACTTGCGCTCGACCAATGGCAGAACGCTGACTGCGTTTACCTCGACAAGGCGTCCGCCGTCATCTCGGGCGTGCTCTGCGTACAATTTCGAGGTCATTTCTACCACTTGGACATCAAACTGTGGCGGACGTTTGTGATCACCCACACGACCGAGTTTCCACAAGACCATGGGTTTCGAGATCGGGCCTAGCATGCGTTTCCGCTGTTTTCGTCGTAACATCAAGTTGGAGGGGAGGGGTTGCAGGGCATTTTTGGCGGGCTTTTTAGCCGTAGTCATGTTGGCTTGAAAAAATTCAATTTGTTTGCTAAAACCTTTTGAGGTCAGATTTATCCTGGTAACGTTACTCGTATTTCGATATTCCTGGCACCATGCATAGAATTAATTGTAAATGTCGTAACAGCCATCGTTCGTACACTAACTGCTGGTCGTATTATTGGACTTTTTCGCATCCATTTATCACATTGATATTATGCGTTTATGAAATGAATCAGAATATTATCTTATGGAGTTTAACGCGTAGATTTTATTCATGACCGTTACTCTACTCTATTGGTCACCTGGTTTCAAACGTGTTTTACCCCAATGTTTCAACGCGCCGAACAATCGCCGGACCTTCCAAATTTCATATAAAAGTAAATTGAAGTGGTACAGGGAATGACGTATTAAACGCCCCCGTGGTACTAAAATTTCGTATTGATTAAAGTATTGAAATTTCGAAGTAGTTTGTCCCAATACACAATTGAAATGCCAATTCGAAGTACCACGGGGGCGCTTAATACGTCATTCCCTGTATCTTTGTGACTGCAATACTACAATCAATCTTTTTCGCCAATAAAATCGCAACCTTCATCTTTGTAGCCAATCATATCCTTTTCTCGATTAGTTGGCGAGTTCATGGCACAATATACTAACTTATTCGAAGTAATTCACAGTGAAAATACGTTTTATAGTAAAACCTCCTATATCTGATTTGGCAGTTGACGTGCACCATACACTGTACAAGTACTATTAATATTACGTCATCTATCCCCTTAATCCGGATACGATCAAGCATCCGAATAATGTTTGGAGCATCCGAATTGTATTTTTGCAATTTCGCGCGCTGGATTGACGTGATGGCGCCGCCGCTTGAGTATACGTTGCCGCTAGGGACGGTTAATCGGATAGTGAAGGAGTGCTTGGGTAACAAGGCTGGAATGACGAGGGAAGCGAGGGAGACCGTTCAAGCTGCAGCTGGCGTGTTCATTCTGTACCTGACCTCGGCGTATGTCCATGTGGAGTTCACGAGTTGACTTCATGCAGGGAGTGTGTCTAGGGCGAACGAAGAGTGCAAAGCCAAGAAGCGCCAGACAATCTCTGCTCAAGATGTCATCAAAGCCTTGCACGATGTCGACATGGATTCGTTTGTTACACCCTTGGAAACCTTTCTGCATGCTACCAAGTCGACGAAGAAACCTGTCGTGAAAGCAAGTCCTTCCATCGATGCACCCCCAGAACACGAAGACAACGTAGCTCCCGACACGTCCATCGAAGAAGACGACGAAGAAACCAAGGACGAGCACATTCCGGACGATGACATGAACGAGCAAGACGACTAATACAACTATATTTCGTCCATGTCGACATCTCCATCGGCGGCGTGTGTGGTGGTGGTTGCTCGGACTTCCATCGACCCTTTCGTGCGCCGCATCTCTACGACCATATGCATCTCCGTCAATCATCATCTTGTTCCATGCACACGTCCGTACCTCCATGCGCAATCACGGCCAATGCCGCGCCATGAACCGCTTCCCTCGCTTGTGTATATGGCAACCCCACAAGCATGCCAATGTTGACAACATCGTAGGGCGATCGCAGCAGCATTTGCCGCACGGCGCCGCTCGAAAATACCACGTTCCGTCCTTTGGTCAGGCGAAGGAGACTGCTTGCGTTCGAGAAAAAGTACCGCCGCCCATTCGAATCTACCCGACGATTCAGTTCATCACATTCATATCTATCATGATATGCATCGCGCACCAACCTCCCAGCGCGTGCATGTACTTGATTTCAAAGCAAATGCCTCGCGCGATGGCTGCGTCTACCTACGTTCACATGTTCCATGAGATGGGGACGACGAGAATGAGAGGTCTACCATCGGCTTGCGCAGCTGGAACGGTACACGGCATGTCATGTCGAACGAAATGAGGTCGATGTCGGCATGTTCGCAGAGATATTGAAATACGCGGCCGGACAACGCTTCCACGGCCACAATGTCGTACGCCTGCACGCTCTTGTTGGAGTTCTACGCATGGAATAACAACTCAAATTATCTCGAACCAGGCGATGTCATGTCCTACCAACGACCGCAATGCGTTCATGTCGTCGCATTGAAGTGTCACGCGCTTCAATTGACGAACAAACCCGTCGACCGGGACAGACGACGGCGCATGGCCATCAATTATCCTCAGTCCATGCAATTGAGGCTTGGTTTTCTTGGACTGTTTGAGCTCCCACAGCCGCACGTCGTCGACCGCGGCCGGAGCGCGCTTCAAGTCGCACTCGACGTTCAACGCAATGCCACCAATTCCTACTGCAGATATGGCCATCAGCTACAGATCACAGGCACATAGGTAGGCGAATGTTTCTTGTACATCGAGCCACTTCGATCAAGTAATTCGACTGCTGGTCCGCCGCCACGGCCGCCGGTACGTTCAGGTCCCAGTACATGCTTGTTGCTTTGGTTGGAAACACTTATTTGCTGTATCTACCAATAGAAAGGCACATGAAGTGTAATATTAACCAATCCAATCCAATACAATTTTAAACCAATCACAAGGCTATATGAATCAGTAAACAGCCAATCAAACGACGAGTTGGCAAAACGATGTTTTGTAACAGCAACCTGAAACGTCTTGACGCCAAGCCGCCTCCTCGCGCACCTTCCCGCCAGTCCGTGCGGTGTATGGATGTCCAGAGGGTTCATAAATGTCGACATCATACACTCCCATTGAGCCGCATGCTCAACAGAAGGTTCTCACTACCGTAGAACCAGCTGCAGATGACGACGGAGTGTCCCCCGAGGAAGAAGCCGACGAGGACGACACGCCGACACCCTCCCACCGCGAACGGTTTGAATGGTTTGATGCAAATCCAGACCTCGAGGAGTGCTGCACTGCGAACGGTCTCACGCGGAAGCAATTTGTCCGTCGCGGGGACCGCGTGACGTCGCTCGAGATGTTCCTCGGGTTCTGGGCGTCCATGCGGTCGGTGCGGTACTTTGGGTTGCTGCAGCACTTGTCGATAGTCAAGCACCCGACGATCACGACCATCGACGGTCTGGAATGCTGTCCGCTACTGGAATCCCTTCGCATCATCGAATGCGGCCTCACGCATATTTCGAATCTCAGCGCGTGCGTCAAGCTCACGCACATCAATTTGAGTTCCAACCACATTGGGAAGATCGAAAACCTATCCACCCTTACGTCGCTCCAAGTGTTGTGGCTTAACGACAACCACATCCGACGACTCTCTGGGTTGAGCGAATGTGTTCAACTCAAGCAGCTTTGGCTGGCCCGTAACGACCTCGACGAGCTCGAGTCGGGCTTTGAGGCCAACAAGCTGCTCGAGGATATCAACGTTGCCTCCAACCGACTGCACTCATTTCAATCGCTCCACGGGCTAAACAAGCTCCCCGCGCTTCGGTCGCTCAGCTTGAGCGATCCCCACTACGGCGACAACCCCGTGTGTCGGCTGTGCAACTACCAAACGTACCTGCTCTGCCAGCTGCCGGCGCTGATATACCTCGACACGATCGAGCTAACATCTACCAACAAGCAAGTGGCCGACACGACGCTCATCAAGAAGCGCATGTACTACAACATGCGCATCAAAACCATCAAGCGCAACGTGACCAACTGCGTACGCAAGGCGCGGGCTTGCTTTACCGACCACGTCCACTACCTCAACTTTAACCTGAACGCGCTCATGCGGGAGCTAAGCGACTTGGAAAAGGAGCTTCACTTGGAAACGCTACCACCGTCGGCTGCCACGCTGTCATCCCTGCCCAACTTGCCCAACAACGCCCTCACCATCAAACGCGACTGCATCGCCCAGTACATTCAAGAAAAGATGACTGTGCTGCACTCGATGACGGCCGCGTTTCACTCGCTCGTAGCTACGTTGGCACTGCTCAGTGAAAAGACCATCCGGCGACTCGTGCTCGAGCTCAACACGGGGGGAAACATCCGACTCGAAGACGGCACATCCGCCGACGTGTGGTACACGAGTTGTGTCGACTTGGTGAAATCCCGCGCGTTCGTGGCCGACCTGCACGTGTTTGGCGTGCGAGACGTCCACGTACTCCGCGTCGCCCGAATCAACAACCGGTACCTGCGCAACCGGTTCCAAGAACGCATGGACCAAGTGCTGGACGGGCCCGACGACCACGTCAAGGAGAACGTGACCAAGCGAGGCGTGACCGTCAAGGACTCGGCTGCGGCGGCGACCGCCAAGACGGGGGACGGAAGAGTGCTGGAAAACGCGCTCGAGTACTTGTTCTACTCACAGCCGCCGATATTGGACCACATGGCGACTCCGGGTGGCGTCACCATGCGCGAACAAGAGCACGCTGTCGAGTGCGGACTCCGCGCCGTGGACGAGTATGCGGGGGTGGCGGACGGCGGGATCAAGCTGTCCAACTCGCTGGCGGCGCTCGACTTGCCGCGGTTGGCCACGGCGCTGCATGTAAAAGGCACAAACCGTATCGACCCGACGGAATTGGCCCCGTTCGATGCGTTTGGGTGGGACACGCCGACGGAGCTGACGCTGCCGATGCGGTCCGCGTACCGCCGCGGGGACTGGAGGTTGCCGCCGGGGGTGGTTCTGATCGCCAAGGTGTTCCTGGGTCACACGCGGCAAGTGCCAAGCATGTCCAAACTCGCGCAGGTCCAGCAAGAGTACGCCGCCGACGGAGGCGACTTGCAGTGTCTGCAGGTGACCAAACCCGCCGACCCCAAGCAAAAGTGCTACTTTGTGCTGGACGAGGCGCTGATATTGCCAGAGTACTTGGTCGAGTACGAGTATACAAGTAGTACCACCATGAGTAGTTGTTGTCGGGATGGAATGGGTGGCCCAGACAAGGTTGCCATAGACACTGCTTTGAAACCAGACACAGAAGCGCTTCAAGACATGGGCGAAGCGTTCGTCCTCACGGATGCATTTTACAACAAGTACAAGCTCACGTTTGCAGAGCCACTTCTAGAGCAACACTTGCTCGAGGACAGGTCCAAGGGGCTGATCCAAATGGACCCGGCGATCGCCCGTCGCCATGCCGTGATGGGTCACAACGCCGCCGCTACGATTACGCCGGCGTTCATCTTGGAAACGTCCAGACAACAGGATCTGACGCTCATGGTGGAGCTCAACCTGACGAGCTGCGGGTTGAAGTCGCTCCACGGGTTCATCGCGTGCCCGCTCGTACACCTTGAGATGCTCGTGCTCAGCTTCAACGAGATCCGCCGGATCGAATGCCTGGACGGACTCGTGGCGCTGCGGGTACTCGACCTGGGCTACAATATCCTCCGGGGCATCGATAACGTCACCGGACTCGCTGCGCTCCAGTCGTTGCTATTGAACAACAACCTGCTCTACCGCTTCGACGACGTTCAAGCTTTGAGCCATCTGCATCTTCGCACGCTTGACATGCGCAACAACGCCATCTGCGATGCCAAAAGGTAAGCCCACATATAATAATATATATATATAAAGCAAAGAGTGTATATAGATGATGATACTGTAGGTATCGGCTTAAGTGCCCGCTGAGTGATTGTAACTTTACAGCGTAATATCAATATGTAGGTATCGGCTGCATGTGCTTCAGCGGTTGCCGCAGCTGCATACCCTGGACATGGCACCAGTGACAAAGACCGAGCTAGACACCGCCATGAAATTATGTACAGCCCTAACGCCACTCAAGATCTGGACGGGGTCTCGGCTTGCGAATACCCGCCAACGGGGGGTGGTGTCGACGCTGGACTTGTTTCAAACAACGTATGGCAAGAAGAAGCGACCGACCTCTACTCGTACACAAAATGCGACAACGTTTGACCAGGATGCGATGATGTTTGACGAAGACGGCGCGTGGTGGAGCGAAGTGGACGAGCTGCACGTGAACCACGAGCTGCTGACCCAGCTGACCCACCTGGACAGACTCACGCAGTTGCGCGTAGCTTCCTTCTCGGACAATGACATCACGTACATCGACGGCCTCGGCATGTGCACCCGCATGGAGGAACTTGAGCTGGTACAGATATATATTATATATATGATCTGTTGTATCGTTATGCAGGGATGTGATGTGGTGATTGTGTGCATTGAATGGATCGTGGCAATATATATATATATATATATATATAAACAAACATATATATAAATAAACAAATATATATATATATATATATATATAAACAAACAAATATACATATATATATAAATAAACAAACAAATATATATATATATATATATGATGAGATAGGATGAATTATATATGATATGGGGAGTAGGATAACAATCAAATCATGACGATTGAAAACTTGGACACGCTCGTGCAGTTGCGTGTATTGGACTTGGGCAAAAACAAACTCACGAGTTTGAAAAACCTCGACGCACTCGTCAACTTGAAACAAGTACGTTGTCATGAAAAATCTCAGAAATTTATAAGTATATATATATATATATATATAACATCGGAATTGTAGCTGTCGTTGGAAGACAACGAGATTACGTCGTTGCAAGGGTTGACGCATTTGGTGCGGCTCATGGAGCTGTACATTGGCAACAATCACATTTCAAACCTCAAGGAAATCCTGGTACCACAAACATATACATTTATTCTCTTCTCATGGTTTAATTATTCTATATATATAAATTGTAATGAATCATTTATGATGTACTGTACGTCAATATTATATATATATATATATAAAGGTACAATATATTGACGTATATATATATATATAAATCATAATGAATCGTTCATGATGTATATCATACCTTTATATATATATATATAAATCACAATGAATCGTTCATGTTGTATATCATACCTTTATATATATATAAATCATAATGAATCGTTCATATATATACACCTATGGGTAGCACTTGAAATCACTGCCCAAGTTGATCATTGTCGACTTTTCTGGCAACGGTCTGTGTGCTGACGACGAGTACCAACTGTACACGATCTACAACCTCCGCCGTGTTAAAGTACTCGACGGGGTCAGCGTCACAGCCGAACTGCAAAACAAATCCAAGCAAGCGTACAGCGGCAAGCTCACGACGGACTTTTTGATCGAAAAGATCGGCCACGCGTTCAATCGGATCCAGGAAATGGAGCTGTCAAGTTGTCGGATCCGAGAAATTGGATCCCTTCACGGGTATATATATATATATATATATTATTTATATACATATTATATTTTTACATGTATATATACATATATACATATTATATTTATATATGTATATATACTAGTGTATTTATATATATATATTCTAACCAAAGTCTACTACTCTCCGTCGTAGCGACGTGTTTGTCAACTTGAAGGACCTGAACTTGGAAAACAATTTAATTGCCGATATTTCCGGACTGGAAAAGCTCCCGAAATTGAGGGTGCTCAACTTAAACAGCAACAAAATCGACCGACTGGACAGCGTCGGCCCTGGCACGGGCGTCCTCGCATGTCCCAAGCTGGAAAACTTGCAACTGGCCAAGAACGTTGTCACAGATATGCTGATGCTGGGGCTGCAGCACCTCCCAGACTTAAAGGTCCGACCGACTTCGTCGTTGTCATATGAATATATATATATATTATACATAGGTGCTGCATTTGGATTTGTGAATCATGTCGCAAAATAGCATTCAAATCGATTTGATCCCATTTCAGCTTGTACAAACTATACTATACAAAGATCCGTATATATAATATGGTTTGTCCAATTGGACGGACAGAGTCGAGTCAAACGTTTGGATTGGCAGAAATTCACTAGAGCGTGATTTGATTGGCTTAGGCAGTTCTTGAATCCATTCTCTTACGACATTCATGAGGGTTCGCTCCAGTTTCGAATTGATTTGACAAATATATATATATATATAGGTGCTGAATTTGGAGTCGAATGACATTACGAGCATTGCGGGTCTCTCGTCGTCGCGCGAACTCAAGGAGCTACACCTAAGTAAAAATAAAATCCGCCAGTTTGAACCTCCCCCTGGTCTGTCGCTACCAAATCTCGTGCTGCTCAAGGTCGACGACAACAGTCTCCGGTCCCTTGCCAACTTTTTCTCGTTGCCGCGGCTGCAGGTACGACCTTTATGAACGCAAAGACCTGTAAAAACGCCAATTTTTTTATAAAAAAATCCCATATATTTGACTAACTTTTTATGTATATACATACAGGCCCTAGACTTGTCTAATAACCGACTGGCCGACATGGAAGAAATCGAGCGGCTGCACCTGGTGCTGCCGATCCTCCAGGAAATGTGCATCCAGAACAACCCAGTGACCAAGCGACACCTGGCTCGGTCGACCATCATCTTTCGGTACCCGTCGCTGAAGACATTAGATGGCAAGGACATCACGTTGGAAGAGCGCGAACGCATCGAAATTTTGTTTATGCACGACCGAAGTCTGGTGAATCCCACACTACCGTTGAACCTCCAGAGTACGTTTCTAGATATATATATATATAGAGAGAGAGATAGAAACATATATATAGATATATATAGATATATATCTTGTGCTTGGAGCCAAACGTTGGAGTTTTGTGTGCTGATTCACCAACTGATCGATCAAATTTTGTATTAAATATTAAAAAATACCAACGCATGCCACACTAATATAAGTCACACACGAGTTTGATGTAGTGAAAGGGTTGAAGATAGATTTTGATTGGCCACTGGAATTGTGGTCTGTGTTTTAATTGGTCAAAATTCCGTTGTCTGTCGGTTTTGGTGCTGCTTGTCATTCGGTGGAGCATCCCCCTGGGATATCGAATTAATATATATATATATGTATATAAATAAATAGATATTCGTCTGAACAGTGTGTTTATATGGTGACGGTAGCCCCGCCAATGCAATCGTCGAGTAAAACCAGCGTCAAACTCACTGCGATGAGCTTTGACTCGCTCACGGGCAGCCAGCGCCGCAAGTCGGCCAACCCCAGCAACAACGGCGTGACGCTGCTCCCCCAAGTGCCGCAGTCGTTGCAGTCCCCGATGTCGTCGACCCGCGATGAAAAGGACAAGGCGCGCGACTCGGTGGATTCGAAAGAAGACAGGAGAAAAGTACTCCCAGATACCCTCGTGAGCAGTACGATATATTTTAATAGTATGGTTGTGAAATACTTGATGTGTAGACAATCCGATGATGAATTCCGGACTCAACATGGCATTAAGTACCAGCTTTGCATCGTTTAGCCAAACCAAAAGCCTCGCCCGTCCAGGTTCACTGAATTGGTTGGACGTGATGTTGTTTATGATTCACTTTTGTAGGAGACGCCATGTACAGTAGCCCCATCGCGCCACAGAAAACGACCTACTTGGCCCAACCCACGGGCCACGTCTTCAGCTCCCGACCACCCCCAGGAAGGAATGCCGGATCGAAGTAGTACCTACCACCCATCGATTAAGCTTATCCTTTGCCATTATCACGTGCATTCGGTACTTTTATGAGGCAATATTATTGAGTAGTACTACAGTAATAGGACTATTAATATTTATATTAATGGTAAGTTACTTACTATTACAGGTCCTCTTAATATTGATAGTACTATTAATACTACGTATTAATAGTACTTATTGCAGTAATACCTCGAAGTAACACTTACGGGACAGCATTTAATATTAATACGTCGAATTATTTATATTGATTTCAAATATCCGTGACATCAGAAGGCTTGGTCCTTACTTTAGGTTCCATCCCAATGTCATCCACGCTTTGTTGATTCATAATTATATTATATTAACCACAGTATCCAAGGTTGGTATCAATATTTTTCAATGCTCTCCCGTAAGTCTGAAGTATTAGTATTTATACTTGTAGTGTCAATGGAAACACATTAGGGTATTTCAGTATTACCCTATTTGAGTATTGGCCAACGAAAGTAGCGATTGGACGAGGCCTGAGCCAATCAACTGCGATGAAGCATATTCACACCAACAATGATGATGGAAGGGAACGACCCCGTGACAGAAGTCGGGACAACCGCGACCGAGGCCAAGTCGCACAAGCGGGCTAGGAGGGAGACGAGCTTGGTTGAGAAGCTACAACTGATCCATCGAGCGGACTCGGGCAGCGTGAGCCAGCGCAAGTTGGCCAAGGACTTTAACATTGGCCTCGGCACCGTGAACAACATCTTGAAGAAGAAGGCGAATACGTTGCTGGAAGCACACGAAGGTGCGCCGCGCGAAACCAAGGTCCGAAAGAAGCCTCGCCACGAAGTGGTGGATCAGCTGGTCTTTGAATGGTTGAAGTGTGTGAAAGGACCTCACCTGACGGGCAACATGGTCAAGGACAAGGCGCTGGAACTGGCCAAGCGGATGCCGAACACCGACCACTTCAAGGCGTCCAACGGGTGGCTCGAATCGTTTTGCAAACGCCACGACATCTCGTTTCGCAAACTGCGGAAAGAATCGTCGTCCGCCGCCACCACGGTGCCCACCCTCGACGCGATGGTGCCCGACAGCGGTACCTTTGTTCACTTCCACGTACGTATCGACAATGTCCAGTGTAGGCTTTGACGAATGGACCCAATGGTTTGGGTCTATGAGCAGCGTCTTGGGGCTGTACGCAGCCGACGATATTTACAGCTGCAGCGAAACACAATTGCTGTACCAGACCCTTCCAGACACGGCCGCGCGACTACTGAAGGATCTGAAGACGCACAACTTGTCTCTTCATGAAGACACCGAGGTGGCGACGTTGTTGCTGTGCTGCAACATGTCTGGTTCGCACAAGCTGCCGCCACTGGTTGTAGGCTGCGACCATCCGTCCACGTTGTGCCAGCCGCAGGACGACGTCGGGTTCAAGCGGGCGCCGCAAGCGTGGATGACCGCAGATATCTTTCACGAGTGGCTACTGGCACTCGACTTGTCCTTGAAGCGAAAGGTGCTGCTCATCCTGCCCAGCACCCCTTGCCACTCGTCCGACTTGGACTTGGAACATGTCTCGCTAAGGGTATGTCCGTCGTTCTTGCCGTCGCAGCTGAGTCCGCTGCTGCAAGGCGTGGTGGGGCACTTCAAAGACGCGTACAGGGGCCTGCTCCTCCGACATGTGCTCGCGATGGCCCACTTGAAGAAGGACGCGCTGACCGTGACCGTCGATAGCCACCGACTGCACGCTTGGATCGTCGCGGCGTGGGCGACAGTCACCGCTACCCACTGCCAGCACAGCTTTGGCCGGCAGTCGGCGGCTCTTTCGGCGCCCAGCACGGAGCTTCAGTCGCTCTTGGCGCTGTTCCACGTGCTGTTTCCAGTGTCTGACCCGTCGCTGCTGCTGTCGTCGGTCGAGTATGTTAACTTTGACGACCACTTGCCGACGCAGCTCATGTTTACAGAAGACTTTCTCGCCCGAGACGTTCGAGAGCCCACGACTGACCTCTCAGACGCGAAAGCGTATACCCACCTGGAAGAGTTGCGTGAGTTTGCCATAACCAAACAACTACCGGCGTTGGTGACGAGCGTGAGTCAAGCTATTTTGGCCTTAGAACAGCGCACCACGGACAATCTCATTCAGTCCATCGGACTCGCACAGACATCGTACACATGGGACGATCATGACGGTTAGTGGGGTTGCTCACAGTAAGCAGACTTGGAAGTAGGGGTGCCGGTAGTCATAGTTGAGTTGGGATAGGGTGAAAACAGGGGTACCGTAATGCACAATATGGTTATTTACAATGGACGTGCTGGTATATTAAATTATCGACGGGCGGCGCTTCGTGGGTTGATCGCCGCGGAGATTGAGCAGCGCAATGAGGCCTTCGATGTCGACCATGTCGTGTTGCATAACCCCAGCATTGACCTAGGCAGAAATACAGGACAAGAAATTGATGGCTGACAGGTACCAGCTCTTCCTCCAGCTTTTCCTGGGTGTTTATCTTCTTTAGCGTATCGACACGCTTGGACGAGGATGATGCCGATGACCCTATGATCAAGTGCTGATATACAACGCTCCACGCCTACACGTATATTGCATGTCATGCTTAAGGCCATGCATTGCAAACGGGTAACCAACATTACCAGCACAAACGGAACTTTTTCGTGTTTTTCTTTGAAGGCGAGGAGATGTTCCAGTGTTATCTGGCGGTTTGACTTTTTGGGCGCAACTCGTTTGGGAGGTTCGACGGGTGCGACCGCGAGGAGATTGTCCACGACTGCCGCCACCGTTGATTGTTGCGGTCGGAAGGTCGCCGCTCGATAGATCGGCTTGGCGATCACGTGCTGCTGCTGTTTCTGAATCTCGGGGGTTCGCCATACTTGCATGAGTTTCCACAGCTCAAAGCGCAGCCGTACCGCCGACGTCGACTCCATGCCGATGAAACTGCTACGGGTAGGCAGTTACGTGTTGCATCAGAACGCTTATCGATTGGCTGAAATCAACATCAAGTAGCCAATTGATACTACTGATTCAATTCAACATCGTCTTCATTGGCTAGTAACGTTTAAACCCAGTGGACTTGTGATGAATGTTCCAACAGGGTGGTGCCGTCGACATGACAGACCAAGTGTCGGACTTCCACCTGAGCACCCTCCTACACCCAAGCCATGTCATGGAGCTCCAATCGTACTTTAGCCGCAGCTCTAGCCAGCAGCTAACACTCGCGCAGTTCACCAAAGCCCTCAAGAAGGTGCTCGGCCCTTCCACGACCATCCCCGACGACCAGCTAGCGCGCATGTTCCACCGCATCGACGCCAACTCGGACGGGTCCGTCTCGTGGGACGAGTGGTGTGACTTCTTCCTCATTTCCGACCAACGACACATCAACCTCTACCGTGACATGCACTCGTCGATCCTGCATCCCCGAGACGGTGAGTACGGACCAGCGTGTATATCGTGTCGCCGTAGCTAGCTAGCATTATCACGCAGCCATAACCCGTAGCTAGCACATACAGGTTAACCTCCGACGAATACCTACGTAGGCTACAGCAGCAAAGACCCGAGCATTGGCACTCGCAACGGGCTGATTGTGCACATCTTAGCAATGCTGGTTCCCATGGAGCTACTCAAGCCCCCCGTGTGGCTGTACGTCACGTGCGCGCGAAATGGTACCGTGAGCTTGTGGGATCCGTCGTCGCTGGCGGTGCTGGGGTCGCTGCCGCCGCCGTCGTCGACCCAGTGGGTGACGAACATGATCGCGCTGTCCGTGCCCGACTTTGTCGCTGTGAGTGTCGTGGACCGATACATTTACATTGTCCAGTTGAGCTCGCTCAGTGTTGTGGTGACCCTGGGCCCGCTGGCCCATGCAGCGGTGGGCATGGCCGCGTTTCGAAACGCCGACGGCGAGTGCGTACTGATCTCACATGGACACTCGTTAAACATTTCACACGAATCAAGTGTCCGACTAACGATAACTGATCTATTGGCTAGGCACATGTTTGCGTGTGGGGACATGGGCGGGGGACTGAATCTCCGCACGGTTTGCACTGTGTCGTGGGATGCCGTCGCGTTCTCTAATCACACGATCCGCCACGTCATTCATAGTGACTGGGTCACGCAGGTCTGTCAAAAATAATATTTTTTTATCTGTTTAAAAATATATGTTTTCCCAACCTATTAGGTGACGTACTTGGCAGCATATCGGTATGTGATCACGTCATCCATGGACAGCACCATCAAGTTTACAAACTTGTCGGACGGCACAGTGCAGCGGCAATTCGACTGCCACCAGTAGGCCTCGTTCTCCCAGCACACCAGAAAAATATATTAATATGATATATATACATAGATCGGGCGTGTATGTATTTTACTATTCGTCGCAGCTCAACTTGATGGCGAGCAGTGGCGCGCGCAGTGTGCTGCTGTGGAACCCAGATCAAATGGACGTGCTGGCGTCTCTCCAAGGCCACGCCAGTCCCGTGCATCAGGTATGCAAAACACAATATATATATATAAATATATAATATTAATCATTCGTTGGGTATGATCAAGATGGTCATGGACGAACGCGCGTACAAGCTGTTTACGCTCTCTATGGACAAGGTGCTCAAAGTGTGGGACTGCTACACGTACCAGTGCACGCAGACGATTGTGGATCCAACCGAGTACTTTCCGGACGAGCACATCGGCCGCATATTCTGGGACCACACGCAGCAACATCTCGTGTCTTCCACCACGCGGCTGCGGGTGTGGCCTACCCACACGGTGCTGCAGACCAGTACCCGCACCAGTCATGACTGCGCCATCACGTGCGCGACGTACACGTCCGTGCTGCACCAGGTAGGTAGCAATGACGTGGTGGCCTGAGCGTCGAGTCTTGTGGAATGGATCTATCTATGATGCGATGTATTACTGTAGGTGGCGACCGGGGACGAACATTCGTCGATTCACACGTGGGATGCTACCACTGGAGAGCTCGTCATGCGGATTCCGCGCGCGCATGGGGCCAACGAGGTACGCAAACAACGTACTTGATGACGTAATCATTCTATACGATGACGCAATCACGATGACGTAATCAACAAACACGTGAAGACGTAATCCACTGTGTAGATCTCGGTCGTGACGTACGATGCGAGCGGCAAGCGCGTGCTGAGCGGGGCCACCGACGGCACTGTGCACATTTGGAATGGAAGCAACGGCCAACTCCTGTCGGTGCGGCCTTCTTCCACTGCAACATATATAAAATTTATATTATATATACCTTGTCGAGCATGAAACATATTATATATATATTTGTCTCCACTGCTATGCAATGTGCTCTTCATGTGTTGTGAATCATCGTGTAGCGAGTTCATCGAGCCGAGCCGTTGTCCGGACCGATGGAAATATCAGCCATCGTGTACGTTGTGCCGCAAGTTACGGCCAAGTCGCTCAATCAAGACAGGTGCACGAATTTTGAACTCCTTAGTTCTCGTAGTATAATTACACTAGCATTTATTAGTGATGTATCACATTTGTCTAGATGTATGCCTTCTAAGTCTTTATTTACTGTGTATATGAATGATCAAACTATATCTATCACCTTTCCTTTACAGTATGAATTGCGCATAGGTACTTCGTCGTGAGTGGATGGGATCGCCATGTTGTAAAGTATAAAGACACCAAGACCCTGGACGTCTCTCCGTTGGAGCTGTTTACAGATTCCACTCACGTAATAATAACATCAACTTTCGAACCCAATATATATATATATGAATATATCAATATATTTCCCATTAGACCCATGACGACGACGTGGTCGCGCTGTGCTACATCCCTGCGCCTGCAGCGCTGGTCGTGTCGGCCAGTGTCGATGGCGGCGTGTTGATCTATTCGTTTTCCATTCGTAAAGTCATGGCATTAGTGATCATGAAAGTTATCATTCTAATGTCGACATCTGTCGTCCGTACTTAGGGTTTTTACGTCACCGACTGAGCTTGGCAAAGGCCCAGGCGGCGTACGACTTCAGCTTTCAAGTCAAAGCCGCTCCGGTCTCAGCCTCATCTCCAACCCCCGACGACGACCCCTGTGATTTTGTCGTCAGTAGTTTGCACACATATTTTTCTCAATGGGAAATGCTCATAGGGGGGGTCTCTGTCGTAGGAGTGCCTGGTTGCGTACCCGTCGCAGAGCAGCTTTATCAGCGGAAGCAGTCGCGGACGCATTGACTTTTGGTGTGCAGAGGTATGGATACGATACCAGATAGCATATGCACAGTGTTGGTTGGTCATAACACTTCGTTTAGACTGGTGGGATCAAGCAGAGCATCTTGCCGACCACCGAATTGCGTCATGGTTTGACCAGCTTGGCTCTGGACGATGGCAAGGTGCTGCTGGCAGCTGGCAACGCCGATGGCGATGTTCATGTACAGAATATATGATTACTTGAGAGATTATTGATATTTTGCTTTTCGCTCAAATTTGCCAATTTTGAGGGATTGTTGAAATCACGTAGTCGAGAAAAGCAGTATGATTGGATCAAAAGAATGAATGGTGCAATATGATTGGCTAAAAATCATTTGCAACAGAAAGGCACCACTTACTGTAAGTTTGATATCATATTTCGAAGGTCTGGCGATTGTTCGGTGTTCATTCACAGTGTCAACCCGGAAATTTTGAGTAGAACACACAATATGAATATATATATATTGTCCTTTTACCCAAAATTTAGACTTTATGCTGCATCGCCAAATCTATTGATCAATTGTTTGTAATGAATTTTGTGTATAAAAGAGTGTCCCGTGGTGATTGGTATCACACTAATTTGACGTTGATGATGGTTTCTGGCAATATGATTGGCTAAATATATCCTTATGCCGATGCTTCTGTAGTTACGTTTGGTTGTGTCGATTCGTTCTCCATGTCGCTCCAGTTTAGAATAAACATAACAATATTAATTCTCGATAATAGCTATGGGAACTTACCAATGTCGCGTGGTATTACAATTCAACTACTCCGTCATGGCACCAGCTACATGCGCCCAAACCCAACGCCACGGCCGCCCTAGTGCGAAAACATCAGCACTCGATGCTGGTGAAGACGTGGAAGGCGCACGAAGGGAGTGCCGTTGTCTTCCTGTCCATTCTGGCCAACAATTTGGTACTATCCGCCATTATTATATATATATTAATTTCTATAGAGAGCTTGTAAATACCGCGAAAATTTCAAATTTCAAATTTTAATTTCTATATAGATAATATATGTATTAATTTTATATATATATATTATATTATCTATATATTAATGTTTATATATTATCTATATATTAATTTTTATATATTATCTATATATTAATTTATATATATTATCTATATATTAATTTTTATATGTATATTATCTATATATTAATTTATATATATATTATATATATATTTGCAGGTGCTCTCGGCAGGACGAGACGGCGTCCTCGCCGTGTGGGACTTTGGAGGTGTCCAAATTGGCGTGTTTGGCCACGATCGGTTGTCGTTGTCAAGGTAATATATATTATAAATAATAATATTCTCTCCAATCCGTCGTAAGCGATAAATATTTTTGCGTCGAATACATAGAGATCTGGCTCCATTTGACCGAACCCAGTTGGGGGACTTGAAAGCGTCCGCGCAACCGCCGCCCCTGCAGCGCACGCAGGCGACCAAAGCACTTCGTGTACGTACGTCGTCGAAGGATGTGTTTTGATTGAAACAATTAAATATATATATTTTTAAATATCGTATACCTCAACGCCGAGGTATGTGCGCAGACGACCTTGTCGCCCCGAGTCGCCGGCCGCCTCTTGCCGTCGGACATCGTGCGCAAACCAGCGCCATCCTCGTCATCCCATGCGACACTGTTCTCTCCCCGTGAACGGCGTCTCAAACTTGCCAATCAGCTCGTACGTTGAGTGTGTTTATTTTGATACTCCCAACAGATTTTTTGACATTGTATCGCAAACATGTGAATGGTTGAATCTCGATCTACCGCACTTGTCATACCTAGGCACAAGTGAATGAACAAGTTTACAGTTAAAAATGTAAATTTGAAAATGCATTGAAACAATCACATTGTGCAATTGATTGAACTCCTCTAAGATTCGATTGCAATAGAATTACGTTGTACATACTCCGTACATGTATTTCATGGTACAGATCAACGACAAATATGGTAGACGGTGCATGCGATGACGGACGTACCACGGCAAGTGCACGAGTTTCTTCACGCGAGCCTTGTGGACGCCACCGAGGCCGAATTCCACCGCAAAGACGCCGCGTGCAACTTGTAGCAACACGATCATATAAACACACAACACTTGAATAGAAACATGATATGGACGAGACCGATGTATTTGTTGGAGTAAAAACCTGTTGGTGGACCGGTCTCGAAGATATAATAGCGAATAAATGCGATATAGGAAGCGCCAAGGCGGGTCCGTCCATGGCACAGGATAGTCGATCCATGTATGGCCTAGATGCTGTAGACGGTGCATGTATCAATCGTCCTTGTTCATGGAAGTACCTCTATGGCTACTAGGCCGTGTGCGCCCATTACTTACTTGTACCTGCTGGTTTACAATGTGAACATGCGATGATACTGGCTGACAGAGTTTAGTATGTCCATTGTAATACAAACTAGGACATGTCGTGTACAGCACGAGGTCCTCGTCCGTCGACTGCGGCCCCACTGACTGAGAGCATATCGAATCGTATCGCTGTTATATTTTTATCGGCACCGTGTCGCAGCCACGTAACGGCGTCCTGGAGATCTGTACTGAAGGTCACAAGCGAACGGGTGTACTCGTCGCCCTGGAGGCTCAGGTCTAGACTCATATGAATGTAGCTGCTTGTTGTGGCCAATCGTCGAAGGTAGTAAATCACCTGCGACAAGGTGACCATCCCATGAGGTCAAAGTAGCGATTGAGTGGGGCTTCCAACGCGTGTCACTGCATTGCGGACGGCGCCACCGACCGCCAGCTCCAACTAGACTTCTTGGGTGCGTAGAAAGCTATCTACGCATGTGGCTGCGATACTGTGCAGAGTGTTATCTGGTAGCTGCGATACTGTGCAGAGTGTTATCTGGTAGATTTGAGCCTTTTTCGTGAAATAAGGCGAAATTTTTGGCGCATTGAATTTATTTACTCGTCAACCTTGGCTTTCTTCCACTTTGGGGACATTGATGTCGCGTCGACTCTATCATTTTGAACGTTGTCGCAGGCGGCAGGTCGCTTGAGATGCGGCGGAAGCTGCGGCCCAATGGACGCGGCGGCACTGGACGGACCGGATGGCGCGGTGCCAGGCCTCCCTGTCGCAGATTGGCGAACCAATCGCTTCTCAAACGCCTGTAGCTGGGTGCGAAAGCTAGCGTTGGGATTCACCTGAGCATCACACGTTTGTTTGCGTACATAACTGGGGGGTGGAAATCGGACGATATGATGCACGTACCATGGGTCGTTTATGTTGGAGAAACGACAGCGCTTCGTCGAATGGCATGGCGTTCGCTTTCATCAAGTACGCGAGGACGATGGACGCGGAGCGACTGACGCCAGCTTTACAATGCACAAAGATACGCCCTGCGAGTGTGGCGGCGCATGTTAGTATATGGACGTTGTGGTGGTTGTTGGAAGGGTAACGTTACCGTGGAACTTGGCTTGGTCGATGAACGCGATGCACCCATCCAACGACGTGAGGATGTCTTCGCCTTGGTTGTCGAAGAGGGCGCAGCGGCGGTACCTACTCATGTCCGTAAGATGAACGGGTACTGTATGCAGCCAAGACGGGGATGGATTGAACGTACGTGAACACGTTGTCCTTTTCGAAAAAGTTTGGCACGCCGGCCACCGGGTCGACTTTACGTGTGGGCGTCACCTACATCCATGTACCTGCCAGATTGAGGGACCCATTCATCGCAGCATGTAGTTACATTCAGGATATGCGTGATGCCTAGAGACTCTAGCATCGCTCGATTCTTCGCATGCTGCCGGCTCCCGAGGAACACGTAGTCCAACACTTGTGTCGGTGATGTATCGGCCATCTTGAAACGTTGAAATGCGTATTCCAAGGACTAAGCCTATTTAGTGCAAGTATTTTGAGCGAAATATCTAAATATATTCGTTAAAATACGATTGCATATCATACTATTCATGTTTTCGCGAAATTGGAAGTGAAAAAAGGTCAATTATTTGTGAAGTCAAAGAAAGATCTCAAAAAGAAGAGCAGTCCCATATCGAGTCGTTGAATGCTCCGCCGTAGCACGACCCGTACAGAGGAGACAAGCCACCCCGCTCCATCTTCCTCGCCACCTTCAGAATACAAAGCCCCGACCCCACGTCCACGTCTTTCGTCCGGCATGCCTATCCTCGGCCCTGTCAATGTGATGATCTTCGTGGTGTTGTTCGTGGTCACGTTGGCCAGTCGAGTCGTCGAAGAGAACTCCTTCAGCAATCCACCCAGCTCGCATGCTACGTTGCAGTCAGAGTATGCCGAGTCTGGTCAGTTTCGCTCCCGACGATTGACGGCGGATGCTCCAAACGCCGGTGGTTTCATGGCCAAGGCCGCCGCCATGCACGCCATGCCATCCACCGCCGCCTTCTCATCCTCATCCCTTGGTCAAGACATCGCTTCCACGTTTCGACAAGCGCCCAAGTCCTTTGACGCCGCGGCGGTGGATCGCATGTTGGTTTGGACCGGTCACATTGACCTTGCCGTTGCCCACGGCGTGCCAGACGTATGGGACACTCTCCAGCGTCAAGTCAAAACCCTCGTCAATACAACATCCTCGGACGGGTACATTGAAAGCGAAAGCGAGCATAGCCAAGAGCGGTACGTCCCGCACGACTGCCGCCATGCCGCGGACAACACGACTGCGCCGTGTCCTCCGGGGAACTACGGTCGCACGGTGTTGTTGCGGAGCTGGAGCCTGTCTTGGCGATTGCCTTCGCCATTGTTCGCCTCGAGCATCGAGGCCACCGCCGCCCTCGTCAAGCACCTGCCGAATGTGTCTTGGGTCAAGGACAAATCTGCGTCGGCCACAGATATCACCGAGCAGTTTATCGACACCAAGAGCCGCGAAAGCATGCTGGCCACAACCTACGACACGCTCGAGAAGGTGCTGGTGCAGGCCACGACGACAGCCGAAGTCATGGACGTGATGCGGGAGCTGCAAAAGGTCGCGGAAACGTTGGAACACACAAGACAGACGGCGGCGTACTTGAGCAAAAGCGCCAGCTTGAGCACGCTGCGAATCGGCATGGACGAAGCGGTGCCGTCTGGACTGGTGGTGATGGTAGACGAGCCTCTAGAAGAGGAGGCGGCAGTCCCGTGGAGCCCGGCGGCGTCCGTGGCGCGGGCGTTTCGCTGGCTACTGAAGATACTTGAATGGTCGATTGATGCGCTGATTGTGGCGGTGGTGGTGGGAGTTCCCATCGCGGCAGGGGCCAGTGCGATGGCTGTGGCAGTACGATATGTTGCGTTGGCTCGTGGTAGCAAGGACTCGTACGACCGAGTGGAGTAATATAATGTATACCAGTTGACTGTTTGAGTACTGGATGTACTTATTGAAACATCGAGAAGGGTGCTACTCTGTTTTACTCTTTGTGGTTTTGAGGCCATACAAGGCAGAGATACGGGGCGGACATGAAAATAGAAACCCCACTGTGGTTCGAACATGTTTACGGTGTCGGGCCCCGTCGACCGCATTCACCCATGTCGAAGTTGTAGTGAGTACTTGGACAGTTACGAATTCCATCGCTGGTATTGGTGAAACGCTTGAGCGTTTCAAGTGTCGGTTTCGTTTGAACTGTTGTATATCACAGACAGGGGAATGAACACCAGCTCGTCGATCCCCGCGACCATGAACCAATCATCGCCGCAGCCCCTCAGGGCCATCGTGAAAGCGCGCAGCCTCATCCGGCGCAACTCGACGGGCAGCCAGTCGCAGCTGCTTACTCGTGGGGGGCTGATTCACATGCCCATGCGGGCGCGAGACCCCAAGGAAGCGCACCGGGTGTCGTCCGCATTGGAAAAGTTGTACGACTTGACGCTGGTCGTGGGTCTGTCGGCCGTGTCGCACCAGTTTGCCGAGCACATCCAGGCCGGCCACGACCTTGCCCACGGGTTCCTCATGTTTTTCATGTCGTTTTTTGCGCTGTGGAATGCGTGGCTGCCGTTCGTGTGGTTCAGCTCCACGTACGACGTCGACGACGTGTGCTACCGGTTGGGGGCGATGGGCCAAATGATGGGCATTCTCATGGTGTCCGACGGCATCGACCACAACATGGGCGAGATCCTCTCAGGGTACATCCTCCTACGCCTGTGCTACACGTTTCTGTTTCGGTTCCGCGCCGCGTACCAAGACCCGCCCCACCGCAGCGTCAACATCAAGCACGGCGTCGCGTCCGTCGTCATAATGGTGGGGTGGTACGCCCAGCAAACGATTGCAGACGACGGCAATGCCTGGTTCGTCGTCGTGTTTGCCGCCATCGGATTGTGCGATCTCGCTGCCCCCGCCCTGGTCGAACACTTTAGCACACCGAAAATGCCGTTTCATCCTCACCACATTTCCGAACGGTACAGCGAGTTCACGATCATCGTGTTTGGCGAGTCGTTGTTATCCGTGTCCCATTCCACAGTGCTCAAACCCAAAGCGTTCAATGTGGAAGCGCTCAAAACGAGCAGCGCATCCGTGTTGTTGCTCTTCGCTCTCTGGTGGCTCTACTTTCTCGTACCGTTTGGCAAACTCCTCCACGACCACCCACATAAAGTGCATTTTGTTGGGTATGGCCACTACGTAATCCACATTGCCCTTGCAGGGTTTGCCACGGGGCTGTACCTTGCTGGCCTCGCCACCCACGAAGACGTGGTGGTGACGCAAACAAGAACGAGGGAGTTAGCCGGCACAAGCTCCGACGTGTCGATCATGACAGCGTCGTGGGTCGTCGCCATCTCGCTGAGCGTGTACATAGTGATCATGCCCATCTTGATCGCAGCGCCGTGGTTCTCCCTGGCCAAGAACATCGTCGTGGCCGTTGCGTTTCTTCTCACGGCTGCATTTGTGACCCCCCATGTGACGGTGGGCACATTGCTGTGGGTATACTGCGTCCCCGTGCTCATTTTTTTGCCGTATGTGATATGGCGCACAAGGCTTAAAGTGTAAGTGGATGTGTATTGTATTAGTTGGTGACAAGTGTGTATACGTAGGCCGTACGTGATTCCCAGCTGAAAGCCCTTTCAAACTCGTTCAAACTCGCGCCAAGCCCTACCACCTCCCAGCAAAGCTTCATCCGTCAGTTTGCCTCCACCTATCATACATAGTACTAAGTAGTATAACATTTACGACGAAACGCCAAAGTAATTCGTGCTAAATTTAGACTTTGATAACGACGACGCCCAACGAGTTGCACGAAAGTCTTCATTTCAATTGGCAGTACAATGAGTAGCGCCAATATGAGTCGCTACACAGTCGAAGTCAAGCCGAGAAACGCCTTGTCTAGTATGCCCAAGCTCGCCAGCTTCAAAGACCAGGCAGCGCCTTCCTGGCTGGGGGGCCGCGTCACGATCTACGCCCCCATGGTCATGCGGGACCCAAAGGAGCCCCATCGCGTGTCGTCGGCGCTGGAAAAGCTGTTCGATCTGACGCTAGTGGTCGCCTTGTCGGCCGTGTCGACGCAGTTCGCGACCAACATCCAGTACGGCGGCGACATGAGTCACTCGTTCACGATGTTTTTGATCTCGTTCTTTACGATCTGGAACACGTGGTTCCCGTACGTGTGGTTTGCGACAACGTACGACGTGGACGACGTGCTGTACCGCGTCGGGACGTTTGGCGAGATGGTGGGCATCCTCATGATCTCGGACGGGATTGCGCACAACATCACCGAGGTCGTCGTGGGCTACATCGTGCTGCGCTTCTTTCACGCCGTCTTCTTCCGCCTGCGGGCCGCGTACGAAGACCCGGCTCGCCGCGCGGTGAACGTCAAGCACAGCGTCCTTTCGACACTCGTCATGGTGTGCTGGTACTTTCAACAGTCGTTTAGTTCAACGTACGCCAGCCAAGTCGTGGGGTTCGCTGTGCTGGCATGTTGCGACCTGGCCTACCCCTACGTGGCGCAGCGGTCGACGGCCCCCGCCGGACGGACCAAGTACCACGCCCACCACGTGTCGGATCGGTACAGCGAGTTCACGACCATGGTGTTCGGCGAGTCGATCCTGTCGCTGTCCCATGCGACAGTGTTGAAATCGGCGACGGCGTTCAACGGCGAGGCCATCAGCACGTGCATCGCGAGCATGGTACTGCTCTTTGTGCTCTGGTGGATCTACGTGCTCGTGCCGTTTGGCCAGATCCTGCACGACAACCCCACACTCACGTACGTCGTCGCATACGGCCACTTTTTCATCCACGCCCCGCTGGCCGCGTTCGCCTCGGGCATTTACGTCATGGGGCTCGCGACGCAAGCGGGGGGATCTAGCCATGGTCGCCGGTTGGACGGCGACGATACATTGGCCATTTCAGTGGATACGGCGGCCTACGTGATTTCCATGTCGATTACCATGCTATTCGTGTCGATTCCGCTGATTTTGAGCCTGCCGCACAAGATTTTGCTGCGGAATGCACTGGCGTCGGTGGTTTTGAACGTGATTGCAGCGACCGCGCCAGGCCACGTGACTGTGAGCACTCTGATGTGGTTGTTTTGCATCCCCGTGGTCGCAGTGCTAGGGATTGTTCTGATGACCTACCGAAAGACCGTACCCGGCCTTGGACCCCCATCCACGTAAATGTAATATCGTGACTGAGCGAATGCCAACGGCTTTGTATGTCGTAGTGCCGCCGTCGTGGCAGTGGACGGGTGAAAATGCGACACAGTAACATGCAGCACGAACGCCATCAAGGCTCCTACTACCACAAAACCATCAACTACAAGTACGCAACACCAGCGATACAACACAAACTTCTTCACAACATCGTCGCCGATATGTAACAAGTGTCGAAATGTCCATTTAGTATGTTACTAACTATAAATGGATGTTTCGGGACAGTCCATTTAGTACCTACTATTAATAAATGTGATACCGTACCGTATACATACTAAATGACTTGTCACGTACTAAATGTACTCAACAGCCAAACCCCAATATCTTTCGACCCATGCGGTGTATATGCTTGTGTGTATACTGTCGTTGATATTTAAACATATGAGGACATTTACAAGCGAATCCTAGGATGTCAGCTGCATAAAACGACTACTATTAATAGTATTAATATCATAAACTACGAATGTCCATGATATGATTCGAAAATAAGCTGGTTAGACTCCATAGCGATGGATTCTCGTCTGAATCGGCACGCGGCAGACGGGGCAGTCCGACAGCGCACTGCTGCACGTGGCGCATGTTTCATGGCCGCACTGGAACACCGTGTCCTTCTTGCGGTCTTCGCATATAAAGCATAGCTGGGCCTCATGCATTTCCCGCATGCGCGTCATCAACGCCTGGTCGGCCGGGTTAGTAGTACTACTAGTCACGGGGGCCGACGGAGTACTACTACTACTACTACTAGGCAAGCCCAACGACCCCCCGCACACGTCGCAAGTCGCCGACGACGCGCGGTTCATGTACGTGCATTGGGAGCAGTTGACCATCTCCTAAAATATCCCACATCAACAACGGCCAAATGCCAGCAATTTGCTCTGCAACTACCTCTGCAACGGGGGCCGCGACGGGAATGGCTGGCGGAGCATACACAGGAATCTCCTTCTTGGCTGGAAACTGTGGCTGGTGGGGTTGAACTATCGCGGCGCCACCCCCCCCAGGATAATACATGGGTGTAGAATGGATCGGATTGTAGTTGGCAGGCGCATAATTCAGAGCGCCGGGAAGCGGCATCCGCTGGACTTCAGGGGGCGGTAGCACCATGGGTGTGAACGGCGGCGGCAGCGGCCGCGGCGGCGCCTGCATCAGCTGGAGGCGGCGAACGGCTTGGTACTGGTCGGGGATTTCCATCAGGGCATGCAGGGCGAACTGGGTTTCTCGCTGCGTCACGTCTGATACGCCTGGGATTAATATTATCGCAAATATATATATAGTTTGGAACTTTTCCATGTATGCATTCGTGTTATCGGACGGGGTATATTATTCGCTGGATATATATTTATAAAATAGATACAACACAGGATTGAATCCAATATATATATGTACATTGCATCTTCATCTATTCTTACAATCCAACGGAATTCACTGGTACATATATGTACAAAATCAACATATATACATCCGACTGCATTTAAATATATAAGTATAATATATAACACATCAAAGCGTATGGTAATATTTGGACTATATACATACATATATATATATATATCGAAATGTGAAGCAAATACAAATATAGATATATACCTCGGGTGACTTGATTGAATTCGACAAATTGGAAATTGTCAAACCGGCGCTGCGGCAAGGCGTCGTCGAACTGCGCCATGGTGTCCCACGGCCCGTCGCCGACGCCCACGAGCACGATGCTGAGGGGAAAGTTGCTCGCGTAGCAGATGGCGTTCATCGTGTCCAGCTCCTGCTTGCCGAACTGGCCGTCGGGGACGTCCACGGAGCGCGTGACCTGGCCGTCCGCGATGATCACGAGGATGTGGTACGCATACCGGTTCGCGATGACAGTGTTCACGGCCTGCAGGATGATCGGCGCGAATGACGTCGGCCCCGCCATGCACACGTGCGGAGCGATCTCGCGGTACCGAGGGCGGACTCCTTGCAGCGCATACCCAGGAATGGTCGGTTGGCCCGAGTTCTGGAGTGGCATGAACGAAAACACCGAGTGGTCGCCAGTCACTTGGTCGCCGAAACCAAAGACGGGGATGATGTTGTCGTCATCAAAGTCGGATAGCGTGCGCCCAACGATGTCCATGACTTCCTCGTACAGGTTCGGTCGCATGGAACTCACGTCGTGGAGGCATTGCCCGCGGAACGTACGTTTGCCCGTCCATTCGTTCGACTTTGTGACTACGCAGGTGCGAAGCAGCACGATGAGGTGATGGATGAAAGAGAGATAACGTACAATCGATGCCAAGGATGAGGTTGCAGCTCTCCAATCCTCTGCGACGCAAGTCTAAGGACATGCTATGAGATCGGTGGAGATATGTAGAGGGTCCAAGGTACCTTGCTTCAGATCACGAAGGTTGGAGTAGTTGTTGGCGATGCGCTGGAAGGACGACTGCGCTTGGACCGAGGGCCGTGCAGGCGCGGCGGCGGAACTGCCGCGAGGTTTCGTCTCCGAGCTAGACCCGTTTCCCATGAGAATGACTTGTGCAAAAACAACAGAATGACCTTCGTTCTTTGATCAACATTCTTAAAAAAAGCGAAAAGAACCAAGTCGACGCACGTACACACCTGCCATTTCGGTATGCGCAGGCCTTCTCGATACTATACCCTTTTGCAGTTAAGTTGGACGAATGCCCGATATATTTGGCCGCCGGATGTATTTGGTGATGTGCCCGATATAATTAGCCATGTGCCCATTTAATTTGGCACACGGAGGTCGCGTGCCCGATATATTTGGCGGTGTGCCCGATATAATTAGCGCCCAAGTAATTGGCCATCTGCCCGATGAATTGTATCGTGTGTCCGATGGAAGTGGAATAAGTGTAAATCAGTTTTGGAAACATCATGTGGTTGAAGTTCGGAGGAAAACAAGAATTTGAAATTTATACTTGAATAAAGTATATTAAGGTGTTTCATGCAATTTCCACCAAGCTTGTCGTACTTTTGAAGTCTCGTAAGTCATCGCTCGTGTGTGCGATGAGGCTGCAAAAACATGCATTCTCAAGGTCGTGTGGGGTTTTATTTGTTTATGCAGGACCCACCGTTGTATCGCTTGTCCATTTTGCTCGACGAATTTTTCAATTCTGTAATTTTCCCATGTAAATTCCGCCCAGGTGTTTGACTTGAATAATGTTTAACATATTTGACCACCGAAATTCTCAGAACCTCTTAATAGTAATGTTTATAAAGTGTACAAGGTATTCAATTTAGAAGTTATTGTAATTATGAGATTACATGAGTTGTTAAAGGATGCAGATATTAAATGCTAAGGGTACTATTTACCTGAGTACCCAATTTTATCCAATCATCTTCGTTGGATGATTGTCATTGGCTGCCAACGAGGCGGAAATTACATGAATCACCTTCGTTAAAGTTCACGCTTTCATCCAACGTATTGAATGCTCATTATTCGAATCACCAAGGAACGCACAGCATGGGCGCCCACGAACTCCGGTTATGATTCCAACTCCGTCCAAAATTTGATTCTGTCGCGCGCAGACCTCATTTTTCGATTTACCTCAAGATACGTACCATCGATAGACGCGCGGAGGCCATGGGCAACATGGGTGTTGGTATGTGAAGTCACAGCAACGATGCTGCATGTGTCGTTTAATGACCATTTCTATATTGAATTGACTTTTTATTGCCATTTTCATCGGGCACACGACACAAATCTTAGGGCAGATGGGCAATTACTTGGACGACTAATTATATCGGGCACACCGCCAAATATATCGGGCACACGACCTCCGCGTGACATATTAAATGGGCACATGGCTAATTATATCGGGCACATCACCAAATATATCGTACATTCGTCCAACTTAACTGCAAAATGGTGTAGTACTGTACTCCAAGTACTGTACTACCAGTATTATAGTAATATTAACGTTAACTTGGGTTCAATGCGAACGTGTGCACAGCGCTAACGCGTGTATATTATGGGGGTACTGACTAAGAGGTTGGATTAGAGTGGTTTCGCAACACATCTTTATATTACAGCTAGTACGCGGCCGTGGCCATTTAGTGCCCGCTGAGGGATTTTAACTTTACAGGGTAATATCAACTCATCTTTACATTACCCTCGTCATGACAATGTCGACAAATGTGGTTTTCAGGATAACGTTAATGATAATGGCAAAATATTTTACGTTTCGCAACTTATCCTCGTCCGTGTCAGTGAATTTTCCACACACAGCACCAACCATACTGTATAGAAGTCTGACTTGCTTTTCCATGCCCTTGGGATTTCTCTAGTGCATGTTTGGGGTTGAACGACCACACGACAACATTGGCCAGCTCAAGGACACGATCCAGCAACTCAAGTAAGAGAAATATATACGGACGACAAATATTATACTCCGGAGTAATATATATCTAGGCAGGGCGGAGTGGCGATGCTCACAGTTCACGGACGAGATACAGTAACGTAGATTTCCAATTTAAGAGACATGGGACAATTTAAGGGACATCGGATTCAGCCAATCACCCACCTTGAAATTTGTGTAGAATTACCTCTTTAAATAAATGTTCTTCATGATCCCATGTGTTTTATATAAATCAATTAACCAATTGGCTCTATAAATACATAACCTGTTGATGTTGCATATGTACCTGACAGAATATTATGCCCTAACCACAAAACATTATATGCATGGGTCAATACTACGATCAAGCTTAAAATATGTCCCTTAAACTGTCCCCTACTTTTGATGTGTTTCTGCTTAGAAAATGGGATATTAGGATATGATAGATACTGTGAAAATAGATGTTTCAGTGCTTGTTGACCTGCGTTTCCTGTTCAATTATCAGTTTTCAGAAGTCGAAACCCATTCCTCACAGTGCCGAGTTCCTGACAGCGACTCGAAAATATATGTCTCTTAACAGTAAATTGGAAATCTACGTTATGCGCTTTTCATGTACTGGTATTGATGATGTACAGAAGGTTGTGTAACTCGGTCAGTAAGTGGAGGACGGTCCTTGATGTCGTTCCTTGGAAAGTTGCTGAATGCTGGTAGGTTATATCTTCCATCCATGGTCGGCATAGTCACAATTAGCAGGCAAGCCTATCTACTGTAAAGTCAAGATTTCCATGTGTTGACTGTATTGGTTATTACGACGACAAGTCGTTATAGATCCACAACCATGCATCGACTGTACGAGCTGTGTACCATTTTCAATGGCTACGACGGGCTTTAGTTTGCAGGAACATCCCCCTGACAGAAGGATTCCTATATGATAGCGTAGTTCTAGGTGCGTTTATTACTGCTGTTTAGTCTTAGGGGTTGTGGGGGGCGCCACGTATGGGTAAGAGCTGTAAAGGTACATACTCGCTACCACAAGCCCCGACGCAATGTACAGGTCGTTGGTGAGCGCTTTCTGGTACAATATGGACTCCAGCACCCCCGTGAGTGCGATGCCTCCGATGAGGGAGTACGATTTCATGACCCCGCCTGCAAACTGTGTCACCTATTCCCATGTCAGTTTGCTGCATCCGTGATTCTACACAAAGTGTACCGCGCCGACGAGGAGGCCACCGGTGGCAGTCGACACAACCGGAATGAGCGTGTATATGGTCCACCCGTCAAACGACAGCGACGTGGCGGAGGGCGACTGAAGCAGCATATTGGCCAAGAGGAAGAGGGAGCCATACACACACAGCTCGGCCGTGACCAGCGACGCGTCCCTGGCGTGAGTTTGGAGCGAGAGCTGGGTGAGTGCAGCTCCGAACCCAGACAGCACGCTCGCCACGAGCACGGGCACAAAGCCAGAGTAGAAGCGGTCGGTGGAAGACATGTCACTGTGGTCGCCACTACTGCCGCTGCCACCCGCGGAGAGGAGGAGAGACGCAGCCATGAGCATGGCCATGGCAACTGCATTACATGTGAAAACGATAGGTGAAAGTAGGTTGTACGTACTACATTGAACGAGGGTGAAGCGGCGGTGAAGGAGGAAGTACACAAACACAGCCGTCCATATCAGCTTGGACTGGTTGATCAGGTTGAACTCGAGCGGAGACAGATGCTGCATGGCCACTTGGATCAGCACGTTTTGGACGGCGTACGTGCAGGCGGGAAGCCCCGAGAACTTGAGACTGTCGATGAGGTTCCAAGAAGAGAGAAACGTCGGGTTGGTGCGAAGCTTGACGCTGATTGCGAGCACCGCAAGGACGAGCTTGCAGCTTTCGCACACGATCACCATGACGGCATTGCTGCGAATGGTCCCGGCATACGCCCGATTGAGCAGAGGTTGTAGGCCAAACTGAAGCGACAGTGCCAGCATACTCAAGTAGCCAAATAACTCGCTTCTCGGTGGTGATGTCGAAGGGGTTGGCGGCTGCTTGCCATGGGAGGCAGTCGTGGCTGCGGACGGCCGCTTGCGGTGCTGGATTGCCCGTGCCATTGAGTGGAAACGTATAAAGTTTTACAGGATTCACAAATACTACTAGTAGTAGATACCAAGGTACCCTAGGTTAAAATAATTAATAAGTTGAGGTTTTACACGAAGTTGTCATATGTGTGGGTACACAATATACCTCATATAGATACAGGTCAAACCAAATTCAACCTATGAGACAAGACCAGCAATCGAGTCAAGTGCAGAAAAGCCACATGGCAGAACTTTTGTGCTGTCGACTAGTGTGTGGTTCATAAACAGTCCAAGTTGACTGGGCTGTTCTCATATGGACGTTTCTCCTCATAAGAGCTGGCAGATTGACCTCCATGTCGAGCCATAAGCGAGGGAAATGGAGTTTGGAGTGCGGTAAGGTGCACATGCAACTTCAATCTAGGTTCAGGTAGAAATCAGCCAATCACAATCACCCAATCAGTCACAAAGACGTTTAAAGTTAAAACTCGAAACGTGTTTTCAACATACTCTTACGAACCAGGTTAGTACAGTATCAATACGTACTACTAGTATACGTACAGTAGTTTGCTACAGTAAACAGTTTGGTTTCTCGTTCACATTGGAATACTGTAGTCTACAATCGATAAGCACGAAGTATAATGCTATATTTCATGTGGCCGAGGAATTTCATACATGAACCATGCATGTATCGGATACACTGTTAGGAGCAAATTATTAATAATACTTCGAAGTACTATTTATAGTAATAGTATTACTATGTTGACTGCAACCGCTGACTCAAACAACTGAACGTCGAACGCGTTTTTTGTTTAACCTAAACCACCATCCAAGGATATCGCGCTTGAACAGACGTTTCAAATCGATCGAGCCCCTCCCTGTAAGCCACTTCTTGTTTCGACATTTCGACACCGATGCAGCATCTCCGTCGTCACTCCATCAAGAAAGCTCGCGGCACCGCGCCGTCGCTCCGCCGCTTCTTTAGCAGCGAAGATGGCAACCAACCCGATCGTCGAAGGCCGGTGGTTACGTTCGAAGACATCAGCACAGCCACGTACCGCGTCCGTGAAGGTACCGCCAACAACTTCATGCTTCCAAGGACTGACAGACGTTTCCTCAGGCATCCAACACACTTCGTGCAACTACTCTGCGTTTCTGTCCAAGCGTATGGGCTATGAGCTGTTCCTGAAGAAGGATTACCGTCAAATGACTGGGAGGTAACAACCAATCCTCGTTCAAACCATCTACTCTTTCTCATGCAGTATCCCTACATAGCTTCAAAGAACGTGGCGCCCGCAATGCATTGATGTTGCTCACTCCGGAACAAAAACTGCGCGGAGTCATCGCCGCTTCCGCTGGTACGTCCTCGTCGAGCGACATAAGGCAGGCGCATATTGATTGGGATGCGTTACTTCCACTAGGCAATCACGCCCTGGCCCTGGCCTACCATGGTCGCATGCTCGGGATCCCAGTGACATGCATCATGCCAACTATCGCGCCGTTGGCCAAGGTCAAGGGCTGCCAAGAGCTCGGCGCCCGCGTCATCTTGTACGGCGCCCACATCCTCGAAGCCAAGACCAAGGCCGACGAGTTCGTCGACAGCGAGGCAAGCAACCCACGAAATCCACCGCGGCAACGTCGCTGATGGGGACTTGACTAGGACTTGGTGTACATCAACGGCTTCGACCACCCCAACATCATTGCCGGCGCGGGAACCATGGGCATTGAAATCCTCAACCAAGTGCCCAAAGCCGACGCGATCATCGTTCCCGTGGGCGGCGGCGGCCTCATTGCCGGCATCGCGCTCGCAGTCAAGACGCTCAACCCCGCCATTCAAGTCATTGTACGTCCGTCGTCGTCGATCGTACAGTGTCCATTTGGAAATAATTCAGTTTGGCATTGTTTTCGTGACCATGTCGACGTGACCCCTCATATGACCTTGTATAGGGCGTGGAGCCGGAAAACTGCGCGAGCTTCACGGCGGCACTCGCGGCGGGGTACCCCGTGGACACTACCAACAAGCCGACGTTGGCCGACGGGTTGGCGGTGCCAAAAGTGGGCGCGAACGCGTTCGAAGTCGCCGCGCCGTTGATCGACCGCATGGTGACTGTGTCGGAAAAGGCCATCGCGCTGAGTGTGCTGCGGTTGTGTGAGCTGGAAAAGGTGGTCGTGGAAGGCGGCGGCGCCGCGTCTCTCGCTGCCCTCATCGACGACAAGCTGCCCGATCTACGCGTACGTTAATCAGCTTTCAAATTTGGTTATTTTCGTGAAATTCGTCGATCTATTGTTTGTACTGACATTTGTATGTCACGAATGATCAGGATCACACTAATTTGAGTCACACACTAATTCGATGTTGAATGGTTGAAGCGAGATTATGATTGGCCACTTGAATCGTTCTCTAGGTTTTGATTGGTCGATCGATATGGTGCTGCTCATTCGATGGATGATGATGTGCTGCTATGATGGAGTAGGGCAAGCGCATTGTGATGCCGTTGTGCGGCGGCAACATCGACACGAGCGTGTTAGGTCGGGTGATTGAGCGCGGGATGGCCGCGGACGGCCGCCTCGTCCGGTTTGTGGCGACGGTGCCCGACCGACCGGGCGGAATCGCGGGCCTCGCGACCATGCTGAGCGAAGTGGGCGTGAGTGTCAAGGACATTTACCACGAGCGCGCGTGGCTGCACTCGAGTGTGTCGATGGTGCAAGTCAAGTGCGTCGTGGAAACATCCAGCTACGAGCACGGCATGGAGCTCAAGGCGCGCCTCGAGCAGGCTGGGTACCCCATCTTGTGGGGCAACGAAGCCATTCGTATGGGCGAATAGAGTCAAAACGAAATGAAGTTGCTGGGTCCTTCCAATTAGGCAGGTCGTAGAACCGAGGATGCCAGGCGAGTTAGTTATACTACTCGTACCAGTTTGATTGTTGGACTGATGACTTTGCTACTGTACTATGGTGTACGTACTCCTTGAACATAACGTTACTGTAGTTGTACTGTAGCCAGCTTTCGAAGCTATGTACACATAACTCCAGGGCATATCATGCTAACGTTAACATGCAATGCCGTCATAACGTTGGTCTTCTTTGATACCGTGCCTGTTGAAGGAGCACTTGATGAGTAGTCAGTTACATTCGCAAGCATGTGCTGGAGGAATCGGATTGGCTGGAATTCATGGACGTCCTCTGGGACTGCCACGTCACGGTACGAGACCTTGGTACCGATCACCATTGCTGTAGCTAAACACCATTAGCAGGGCCATGAAGAAGGAGAACGCTACAAGAGAGCTGAGGCATCGTAGAAGTCGTTCGTTGGGGTTACCGAGAGCTGCTTCCGGTAGTAGTGTAGTGCCACACTTAACAGATACTAACAGTAAGCTTAGTACAAAAGTGCTGAGCATGGAAGTGAGAGTGATGGTCCACATGACCTTTCGAAAATCGAAATGGTCGAACGATAGCTCGGACTTGCTCACAAGCCATTTCAACGCCATGTTGGCACATCACACGCAGGATGTGTTGCATCCGTATGCAGGACTCCTCTTGACCTACGAACGTTCGTCCATAGACGTTGGAACAACCTTGGATGGTGACGATGACAACGAGCGTCATCCCGCGCTAGACTTGGTTACCGACATTGAGATGGCCATCAAACCATCGCCTCAATCGACAACGATGTGTCCCATCTGCTTGGATCCAGTGGTACCCAACCCAAGCAGTCCCGCCGCCGATGCAGCGGGCGTATCCACGACGATGACGGAACCGACGAGCTACGAATTGTCGTGCAGCCACGTGTATTGTTATCGTACGTCGTCTGCGACGATGACATGCATAGTAATCTGTATGGCCTTATGTGCAATATGCAGACTGCATCAAGACGTACGTGGCCAAGAAAGTCGACGATCGCAAAGTCGACGCTGGTACGCGAACACATCGAGCGTCTTGGTGCTAACAGAAGACGCGATAGATCAATTGACGTGCCCCATGGTGGAATGTCGCAGTGCTATCAGTGTCGTCAACATCCTTCAAACGACCACCGAAGCTACGTTCTTAAAGTACATGCGTTTTGTGCAGCAAAACCAGGTATGTACTGTCAACATTACTAAGTACTACCTATGTACTAGTACTACACCTACGACCATGAGGTACCAAACATTGCGCTTCTAGTTTGAGCGCATGCCTCATGGACGGTGGTGTCCCAGCGCCTCGTGCGACGCCATGGTTGACTGCAACCCGAAGATCGCGACCTTTCAATGCTCGTTTTGCAAAACCAAGGGCTGCTTCAAATGCGGAAACCTTAGCCATCCGTTTCGAACATGCCACCAAGTGCGTAACGTGACTACGACACCACCAAGAGCGTCATTATGTTCTATCTCGTGTTTCACGTATCAAAGGCGCTTGATCTTGGCGTCACACATGTGTACTTAGGCCATGGACGCGCAGTACCGTGACTGGGAAGCCCGGCAACGGCGCACGTCGAACCCTGTCAAGGCGTGTCCTAGCTGTGGCGTCCGCATTTGGAAGCTCGACGGATGCGCGCACATGACGTGCTCGAAATGTCGGCACGAATGGTGCTGGGTGTGTCACTTTCGATGGTCTGCCCACAACAAGCGCGTGTGTGACGTGGTTCACGCGTGGGAGTCACCATATTGGGGCCCAAGTTGGCCCGTTCGATTCGTTACCAAGATGGTGGTCGCGCCCTGTGCTTTAGCTGTGGGGGCCGTCGGGGGGTTGCTCTTTGGCTTGGGGCTAGCCCTCTATGGCCTGGTCATAGCCCTTCCAAAACACGTGTACAAGCAGCTCAAGTGGCAAACTCGACGCCACAGAGCAAAGCCATCGGTTTTAAGCACAGAGTTTATCGAGCAATTCCAACAGGGCGTGCATGTGTACATCCACCAAGAAGACCATGTCGATGAGAATGATCCGAACCACAATGATTGGTTGCAGGGGCTAGCCAATGGCATCGGGCGTTGGCGAAACCGCCGCGAAGACCAGTATGTCCAATACGCCCAGTCAGTCATCGCTGGTGTGGGGGGGTTTGTGTCGTACCTCAGCACCAGCGCCACGCGACGCACTTCCCTGGACGGCACCCCCAATGCCATCACCGTCGTCGTACTACATGGAACCACGACATTGCCTCACGACGACGTCTTGCGTGCGTTGGTGGCAGTGCCATATGTAAGGATGGAGGAGGGGGTCTTGGACATGCAAGGCAGATGTTGAGTTGGTTTGTACTGTAGGTCGCCGAAGTCTTCCTGGTCATCAATGCTCAACCAGAGACGGTCTGGACTGCCGAAGTAGCGCATGCCTTGACGGCGTTGCAACGCATTCGACCCCACGCCCATTTGCTAGCTGTTCCGAACGACCACCCTGAATTCAACCAAGCGTATTTGAATGCGATTTACACGGCGCTCGGTCACTTCTTTCTGCCTCGGCGAGCCATGGCGGCGGGACTGACGGCACCACCTTTTGCAACTGTTTAATACTACCTCTGTCCTGAAATGTTCGCTACAATCAGATATTTTGAAAAATGAACGTGATACCGGTCGAATTATCTAAAACGAACAATATGTATGTGAAGAGGAGGTTTCAGAGTACTGTACTGTATACCAATCAAGATGCTTCGAGCCAAAATTGAACCAATCAAAGAGAGAAATCAGTAATACAGATCCCATATTTTATCCTATGTATGATATTCGGTGCAAGCGTATCCGGATGACCGATTCCCGGATAATACTTCGTTTATCCGAACAAATATCTAAGAATGTCAGTCCACGCGCCAAGAATTCGGACCGGACTGCTGTGTTGCAGCAACTTCTCACACTGGGCAATGACCAATCAACCCTCCCGCATGGTGCATTTGCTGCCGAGGCTGCCAACTTCGCCGTGGCAAGAAGCATCGTCATAAAGCACCGTGCGCCTTATTTGGAAACGTGCCGCCGTCAATCTCACCGACAAGCTCGACCCATGTTCCGACGTGTCGCCACGCATCATGGTTCATTGAATTTCGTACGCAGCTGAAGGATCTTGATGTGCAAGACGTTTTCGACGATGATGCCATTGACATTTTGCAAATCCTGGGGCGCAATAATATTTAAAATAATATCACTTGATTTGTATATAATAAATTTAATCGATGCAATGGATACACTTGTAGCAATTGTTGTGGAACTTCAAGATTCGCCATTGTAGCGAACATTTCAGGACAGAGGTAGTATATACTGTATATGTAGGCTCTAAATTTATATTATTGCTAGGGTAAATCGTACCAGGAATATAATTCCTTTCATGGGAGTCACTTGTTACGACTCGATCGTGGTGGCTAGGGCAATGTGACCCCGCTTCATCATCGCGTCCTGAATCGATGTATTGACAGCGGATTCTTCCACGGGTCGGTAGTTTTTGCTTGGATTTGATCGCATTCAAACGCTCATTTCTTGGCCCACAAGGTCGTCTGTATGTAATATTAAGCCGTTTATAATTCGACAAGACCCGCTGAATCACATTGGGGGCGGTCCGTTTCGGTAGGTTTATAGCATTGGGGGTAATGCTTATGTCAAACGCTAGCGGTATGGACAGCATTTGGCTCGTCAAAGTATGGCCCGCTTGATGGGCCAGCGGCTGGAGATGCGTGCGCCAGTGCCACGTCCCTCACGACATCGCTAACAACGCTGATAAATGTCGCCAGGAACTCGTAGATACAGCTGGTGAGTGACGGCACTGTGACAAGGACGGGCTCAGCACCACGAGACGTTTGGACGGTTCGTTGTTGAGCAACTCCCACGCACGTTGCTCCCCTCGGACTTTGGAGTACTAGTATGGAATGCGACGCAGACTGTTCCAGTGGGCTCTGTGAGCACCCTGCCAGGCAGGGGGGTTAGTGTCGCATCTACCATACCGTTATCAAGTGAGCAAACTAGGCAGCCTGTTGGAGGCTGCGGACGATGCCTCGCATGTGGAGCAAGGTCTTTGCAAGCAACACCTGGATCACGTGGGAAGCAATGTTGCCGGCGGCGCCGGTCACAAGCACGGTTCTAGATAACAGGCAAATGAGAAAGTGATTTCGATAACTTTGAATGCAATTAATCCAAATGTCATTAAAGTTGTCGAATTCACTGTAATTATTAATACTAGGGTAGGACTTTTTATTATGACACGCTCCATTGAGTAGGGTAGAAATGACCAATCAAAAGGCTTCGTGGGACCTAACGCGTTTGGATTGGTTCATTCCATTTTGGTGCGGGCATGCAGACCTCGTCGGCCGTTGGCCTTGGTGCAGTGCCGCCAAGCAGTGATCCGCAGCGCCTCTTGAGCTATGTGCTGAACATTATGCCTCAATACACGTCTATGGAGCTGAGCACGATGCACTTCCGACTGTACAACCAGCATCTGCGCTTGGAGCTGGAGCAGATGCGGCAAACACTCGAGTTCATGCAGGAGCGCGCGCACGACGAGGAGGACAAGCGACTGTTCCTCGAGAAGTATGCGAGTGAAGTGGTCAAGGAGCGAAACGAGTTGCTGCATCACAAAGGCAAGAAGTCGCACAAGCTGTGGCACAATTGCTGTCGGAAGCATGCGTCCTACGACTTGGACGTGACCCCTTCCATCGCGTCCCTCCGCGGTGAAAAGCTCACGGAAGTGGGGCTGCAGTTGAAGCAAAACATGCAAGCTCTACAGGAAAAGGACCGACTGCTTCAAACCGCCCAGCATCTCGCGCACACCAAGCAAATCGAATTGGACGCGCACATGTCGAGCTGTCGCAAGGAGCGGTACGCCATCCATATTGATTGATGTCTTATCACATCGTAGGGATCAACTGCATGACTACATTGCCCAAATCTCGGGCCTCCAAACGGCCCAAGAGCGTCAGCTTTACGAGGCACAGAGTCAACTAGCCGTGGAAGTTGAAGCTAACGACAAGAGCCATGGCGAAATCGACCAGCTGCACCGTCGTCTGGAGCAGGTCGAAGGGCAATTAGAAGAACAGAGTGCCGTATTAGCCGACAAAGACAGTCAAATCCAGCATTTGACGCACCTTTTAGAGGTAAAACCGTCCATCCAATACAACACTCTTGGACTCAGACATCTGTCGTGGTTAGAACGCCGCAGATGTGGAGCGTCAGCTGCAGGACGAATGCCGGCGACTGGCCCATCCAGGCCGCCATGCCGAGATTGAGGCGCTGCACAGTCAAGTGGAAGCGTTGCAGACGGCGGACATGACTCAACTCACGCGAAAGTACACCAAGCACATCCAAGTGCTCCAAGACCAGCTGGACAGGCAGAGCCGCACAATCGACGGACTCGAGCAAGAACTGCATCGCTTTCGACCGATGACGCTGGACGACATGTCGGACAAGGACACGCCGCCGTCCGTGGCCGCGTCGTCGTGGCATGATAGCCTTGGGTCGGTGTCTCAGTACTCCCGGGTGTCTCTTTTCGAAGCGTCCCACCCACTGCCGCCGTCGTTGGTGTCGCAAGGTCGAAGTCGTTCGCGTAGTAGTAGTAGCAGTAGTAGTAGTCGCCGTAGCCGCAGTCGTACGAGTAGTACTAGTAGCAAGCCACATGCTGGCAGCGACATCGATCGAGATGGGATTTTGCACCAGTTGCAACTGCTGGTGCACGAGTCTACCCACAGACGCCAAGTGGAAGAAGCCCAAGCTAGGATGGACCAAGATTATCTCGGCCTCGTCCGACGTCGCGTCGATGCCTATGCGTCGCATTAAGATGAAAACTACTTCGAAGTATTAACAGTATTGTTGTACTGTACCAACCAGTGGTGATTACTGTACCTATATACCAGTACTAGTACCGTACTAGTACTACGTACTACTACTTCGAAGTGAGCACTTACTAGCAGCATTCCTCTACGAAGCACTAACGTTAACATTAACGTTACCGGTACATTGTTGGGCAGTTAACGTTACCTGTAGAATTTGAGGCCAAGTGGATGGTACAGCAGAATGAGCCATAGACTTCGACGCCTGCTAATATGCCGGGTTACCGTGGAGGAAGGCCCTGGTGCTGCAAAACGAACTGCCGGTACAGTTGCTGCAGTTAGTGTCATGTACTAGTACTCGTTAGGTTTATTGGGAGGAAGTACCCGTAATATTTACTGGTACTACTGAGGAATCAATGTGCATTGGCCAGGGTTACTTCGTAATGTTCTGGATCAAACCGCTTGGAGTCCCCCTGTGGAACGTGTCTGTGGCCAGCAAGCATTTTTGCGTGACCGCAAAATCGTGACGTTTGGAGCATTTTTGCCACGTCGCACGTTTCTCAAACATGATGCCATGCCATTGGCTGATGAAACAGCCAATGAAATGGCTGGTCAGACTGGTTTGCGGTAGACCAGATGCCTCGTCTCGCGAGTGACCAATCACAGGGGATGCACGAGCTCATTCACAGCCGAAGAAATCGTCTGTCATAGATTTTGATTCCACAGACAATGAGATTACCAGTCGGATGTGCTAGGCCCCAGAAAATCACCACCATAATGAAGGCCACAGTCGTGGTTCGAGCCTTTGTAATTGTTTCGAATACCTCCCCCAAACAATTATTCAGTCTTTCTTTCCCCCCATCCACACCATGTCTTTGCTTTTGGGCGTGATCTACGCCACCCTGACCAACACTGTCTGGGGATGCTACCCACTCTATTGGAAACGGCTAGCCGAAATCCCTGCGTTGCAAATCACAGCTCACCGCATCGTTTGGTCCTTCGTGCTTCTGGAGCTCCTCTTGGTCGTCACGGGGAGGTGGAAGCACTTCCACAAGACTGCGTTCACCCGACTAAACATAGCCACGGGGGCCCTCTCGGGTACCCTTGTGGGGTCGCATTGGCTGTTGTGGGTGTGGGCAGTCAACCGAGGGTTCATCGTCCAAGCGAGCTTGGGCTCGTTCATGATCCCACTGGCCACCATGTTCCTCGGCATGCTGTTCTTAAAGGAACGTTTCCGACTTTGGCAGTGGGTTGGCATGGCGCTGGCCATTGGCGGGGTCACTGTCGTGGCAGTTGGCAACGACACATTTCCGTGGGTGTCATTTGTCTTGGCGCTGACCTTTGGCTTGTACGGACTCGTGAAGAAGCAAACCAAACTCGACGCGATCGAGGGCATGACGCTGGAGTTTGCCATCATGTCCATTCCATCCCTGACGTACTTGGTGGTAGCCGAAGTGCACAGTCAGGGGGTGTTCAGTCATGTGGATGTGACCACCGACTTGCTTTTGGTCGGGGGCGGGGCTATCACGGCCATTCCGTACGTGTGGTTTTCTACTGCCGCCCTTCGCCTCCCCATGACGATCTTGGGCATCTTTGGCTACATCGTGCCGACGGGAAACCTCCTCATTGGTGTGTTTGTATACCATGAACCGTTCTCCACCACCAAGTTGGCTGGGTTTGTGCTCATTTGGATTGCTTTGGCTGTATTTTCTGTCGAAAGTCTGCTGGTTCCAGCTGCCTCTGTCGATAGCAAAGACCAACTTCCAACCTCAGTCATTCACTCGCTAGACGTAACAAATGCCAACGCGTCAACGACAGAAGTGGGCGATGCCTACGTGCCGTTCGAAGAGCACAGTCCAGTGCTCGTAGTCGTACAACGCGATTAAGCGTATTATATCTAATAACCCATCCTTTGCACACTATCTTGAGGCTATCCTGAATGGCCATACAAACCACCGTTGCCCGGTATCACCTACTTGTACCTTAACTATAATACTGTATAGCAACAGTATTGCTGCGTTGTACTCCGGAGTATAGCGACACGCACAAACCAAAGGTGCTGTGTTGCACAATCGTGGGGGGATACTCCTGTGTCATGATGTCAGTTATCATTATCGTAAGATATGACTCTATGGTACTAGTAACGTTTACATGTGATATTTGTCCTGCGTGCGACTTGATTTGATTGGTTTACAGTCTCCCCATTGGTATTTTGACGAATCGAAATCGTTTTGGAGTTTGAGATACAGTAACATAACAGTGCCAGCTTCCTGACATCTCAAACATCTCCATTAGCGAACTCCCCCCGAATCACCTGAGGATGTGTCATAGATATTCTGTCTTCATCTTTGAAGGCATTGATACAGCTCCATCAACACCACGATGGAATATAACGTAAGAAATCAGTTTAACTGTAAGATATCTTTTTGGAGGCGTTGGTGTCAAATGCACATAACTTGACGTTAACTTTTAAGTCAGTTACAATAAGCTAAAGTAACTTATTTGAGTACTACAGTACGCTTAGTGATTCCAAACGACAAGCCGCACCGCTTTCACTACATAATCAAATTACTTCTATTACTAGTACATATTAATACTACCTTCACAGTTAAACTTTTCACTTTAAGCATTTGAAATCACATTTTGATAAACAATTTAGGATAACTTTTTAACTTGAAGTACAGTATGTATGAGTAAAGCATTGAAATTCTGTGTTTACAGTTAGGGTACGCGGTTATAACAGGTTAGATATATAAATATAGTTTCACAAAGTTATGTGGTTTGTACTTCAGGTGTGGAAATATGTTCACCGAGTTATAATTCCTTTGTAAAGGTCACAAGGAAATCCGTTTGGCCACATCCTTAAGCTTAGTTACACTCAGAGAGCACTTTGGCCTTCATTATTGTGGCATCCAACTGTACCATACACAATGCAAGTGAACTTAATCCAGGAGTGCTACTCTCCTGTAATAAGTTCACTTGCATTGAGTATGGTACAGTTGGAGTAATACATAATGTAACTGTACTTCGAAGGACTCGAGGGAATGACGTATTAAGCGCCCCCGTGGTACTTCGAATTGGCATTTCAATTGTGTATTGGGACAAACTACTTCGAAATTTCAATACTTTAATCAATACGAAATTTTAGTACCACGGGGGCGTTTAATACGTCATTCCCTGTAATCCGGGCTGAACTGTGCTAAATTATCCGGAGGCACATGATCATTCGGGTTGAGCATTCGTCAACAATTGTACCATGGACATCAATACGCTCTTCGGTGTGAAGGACCAAGTCGTAAGCTGCCAATGGATGGAGCTGGATACATGAGAGCGAGGTGCCTGTAGGTGCTTATCACGGGTGGCTCCCGCGGCATCGGCAAGATGATGGCCGAGGGCTTTGTGCGCAACGGGGCCAAGGTTTACATCTCCGCTCGTAGCGACAGCGTGTGCAATGAGACGGCGGCCGAGCTCAATGCAATGGGTACACCTCTACAAAGCATGTCCATCGCATATTCACACTGATGGGTTCGTTCTAGGCCCTGGCAAATGCATTCCTGTATATATTGGCATGCTTCCTGCATTGCCTCATTCATCCACGATTAGATCCCGGAAGATGTGAGCACAGTGGAAGGCTGCCAGCGCCTCGCCAAGGCTTTGGGAGAACACGAATCCAAGCTGCACGTGCTTATCAACAACTCGGTATACGTCAGTGTGCATATGCACCCTTTCACACGTTGTGTAGGGCGTGGCCTGGGGCGGGGGATTCGATGCCCACAGCGCCAAAGCGTGGAGTAAAGTGATGAACCTCAACGTGACCTCTCCGTTCTTCTTGACCAAGTTCCTGCTTCCTCTACTGCAAACCCATGCGCGGGTCATCATGGTGGGGTCCATCGCTGGACTGCAGCCGCAGGACCTAGGGACGTTGGCGTACGACACGTCCAAAGCTGCGATCCACCACCTAACGCGGGTGCTGGCGGTGCAGCTGGCGCCTCGACAGATCACCGTCAACTGCATCGCGCCAGGGCTCGTACCGACCAAGATGAGCCAGCAGATCGCCACGGCCACCGGAAAAGGGTGCGTGAGTCTTCTTGCTCGATATGTCTTGAGCATGACGTCTGAGATTGGTCAGATTTCAGCAAATGGCCGACCTTGCGATTCCTCTGGGGCGTCCGGGAAGTCCATCGGACATGGCCGGTCCAGCGCTCTTCCTCGGTACGTCCTCCAAAGGTTAAGCCAGAACTTGAGCAAGATTCTGAAAATGGTAGCGTCCCCCGCGGCCGGATGGATTACTGGAACTGTGTTGGCCGTCGACGGCGGCCAAGTGTTTGCAACTCCCACGGGAGATCATGCCAAGTTGTAACTGCATCCCGTCGCCAGGCTTACTAACTAGTAGTACTAAAAACTATGCACTCGAACTCGGTATTTTCATTCAAGCATCTATTAATAGAACGCTGCATGTCTCGTTTGCTTAGACATGTGTACTAAGATTACTACTGTACAGTAGTACTGTACTAGTAGTCGATAATTAGTACTACTATTGATAGTAGTCGATAGTTTGACCTGTGAACGGGAATCTATAAATAGAGCATCTTGACATGGATGTCAGGTATGGACGGCATCATGTGCCGCCGTCTTCTGTCGTAGCCCCTGTCAAGGGTAGCAAGAAAGGGTACGCCGTCATGATCATGCCAAGACGGGTATTTGGTGAGCCGTCATGCACTTGTAGTGTCGGAGTAACTGCAGTTGATATCGGACAAATCTCTAAGCTCCCCGTCGTACCAAACGCCCGAAGTCGCCCCCCCCAACAGTCCGCAGGCGTGACCGACGCAGCCCTCACGACAGTGTTCAAATCAGACGTGATGCTGCTGCAGTTGAAATGCGAGAAACTCGAACGCCTCTGGGGTACCAGGTACATGAAGCGTTGGATTGTAAACACATGGTTGAAATGAGAGAATTCATGTGCTGTAGAGATAGCCAGTCGCCGCCCACATGTGACCACGACATCCGAGCCATCGTAGCTCAAGTACGAACCCACAAAACAGTAGCGAGGTTATCTGCAGCCGTGCATTTTCCATCTAGACGTCGAATGTTGAAGCGATATTAGCCAGAGAAAAGTACGCGTCCATGGCCGAAGCCGTGTGCAAGTTGTCGTTGAAGGTCGCGCATCTTGGTGATGGGCGTTTGTCGCTAATGTAACGTCATCGCATAGATTGAACTCAATGACCTCGTGGGCCGAAAGATGCAAGCGGTTGAAACTCTCGTGTTGCAAGTAAAACTATAACTCAGATCTGCCATTTTCTGAATACGATCAACTGCGTAGAACACTGCAATGGCACCAACGCCAGAACAATGGACATTGCCGTCCACAGTGACACTCTCCCGTCTACCGACCTTCCTCGCACTCATCGACAGGTTGGACCTTCATGCTGGTTGATCATGACATCAATAATATGTCCTAGATTAGTCCAATTGCATAGTACCGTCGCAAGACTCGCCGTCGCCCCACCACAAAGTGCAAAGTCGTACGAACCACACAACAACGCCCCACCAGAAGTAGTAGTGTCAATCGAGCCACATGGAAAAGAAGAAGCGTTGAGGGCGCACATCCAGCAACTGCAATGTGAACTCGCGCACACCGCCACCGACTTGCTAACCAAACATCGCGTGGCGGAGAACCGGTGGCACCGCGAACTAGAAGTTCTCAAGCACGAATGTGCAGCTCTAAACAACACGATCATGGGGTTGCATGAGGAAGTGGACGTCACCAAACGCGCGCTGCGCCACACGACGCAAGAGCTAGAAACAGCCTCTTTAAAGCTCGAGCTGCTGCAGCAAGAATGTCAGCGGCATGACACTACGATGAAAACCCTTGTCGGCGAAAACGAGGAGATGGTGAACCAAGTACGAGCAAACCTATTTACATGGGAAACACTTAGCGGATTTAGGTAGAATGAGCACACGTCATGATTATACGTGTTGTTTGTATGATAGCTTCGCGACCGACACGCCACGGCGACGGCGCACTGGACCGCCGAACTCGATGGAATCCATCGGCGGTTCCAAACACAACTGGAGGAGGTCCATGCTCAGCAACGAGCCCAGCAACAACAAAGCGATGAAAGCCACGCTACGCAACTGCAAAGTGCCTTGGACAAAGTTGCAACGCTCGAAGACTCCACGTACGAACTCAAAGGGCTGGTAACCACCTTGACAGAAGAAGACGACGCCCTTGTCCAGCGCATTGAACATTGGTACTGCGTAGTTAACTTAGCAGAACATGATATGGTCACTGTACGCATGTGATAGGCTGGCTAGTGTCGAAGGGCCGACTGTCTCCCCCGAGTTGGCACTGGATGTTGATGGCATATCAGCGCTCAAGGTGGCGAAGCCTTTGGCCCGTGCATTCCAAGTCTTGGCTGCCGTCGTGCCGAGTGTGGCGGCATCTGACGCTAGACAGTCCACCACGAGGCAATTCGAACGGGAATTGCTTGTCGCTCTAGGCGAAGTTGCACAGGCCAATGAAACCATCTCATCTTTAGAAGCGTAAGCTATGTCGAATGGAGAACCAAGCAATTGACATGATATTGAACTCCTTAGGCTGGCGCAGACTCGATGGGAAGTGATCGAGCAACTTCGTGCGCAACTGGACGAGTGGACGGTGCAACGAGGGATGAAGGAGATGGCACTGCAACAAAGCATCACGAGCTTGAATCAAGAAATCGCGTGTCAATTGGACTGTATCGACCAGTTGCAAAAGGACAAGCGCGCATTGGTCCAATCGCAGTGCAACGATAGCGAGGTGGATGGTTTCACTGAAGAAGGATAAGGATGATGGAAGATGAGATATTATGTTGGCAGGTTCAAGCCATCGACTCGTATGAACAGGTGGTCAAGCAGGAGATTCACGTGATGAAGCGGGCGTTTGAGCTCAAAGCACGGCTCGCGATGGAGCAGATGGACACCCAGGACAGAGCCCATTTCAAACAAGTGCAAGAGTTGCTGCGGAAACACAAGGATGAGCGCATGGCCGACCAGCTCCAGGCCAAGAAACTTGCTCATGAATGTCGTACCTTGCAGGAAAAGTGCAAACTGCTCGAGGCAATGTGACGGGACAGCAGGAGAGCGTGCTTACAGTTCGCTATACTGCATGAAACTTGGCCACTTCAGTAACCCCGTCGGAATCCAGCAAGGCTAATACATGATGGAATGAACAATCTACGAGTAGAAGGTGGATGGATATACATCGGTAGCTACAATAATTGAATTCTTCGTATTCCGTAGCCTAAAGGTTGGCATTGCTTTGAAGGCTTTGAAGGTTTACACCGCGATCACGTTGGGTACATGTATGAGTGCTAAATACTACAGGATCTTCGGCAGCGCTAATAACTCTTGGTCAATGGCATCGATCTTGTTGACTTTGGTGGCTATTTGGGCGTCCGTGCGATCAAGGTCGCGAAGGAGGCAGGCGCGCCGTGCGGTCAGCCGCGCCAGCACTTCCGCCGTCTGTCGCTCATGCGCGCTTCGGATGAGGTTTCTGGCGTTGTGAATAGCTTGGCCTTGTTGATCTCGTACTGTGAGAGTGGACACGCCTTCTTCAAACGTCCTCGACGCCACCTCGCAGCGGAAGTTGCTCGACCGCGGCGTGACGATGCAGTTCAGGACGCTCGACATGTTTTGCAAGTTGGAATGCGAATGCTGAATACTACAACGGGATTGGTCTAAAAACGAGATTTTTTCTGGCGCTGGGATTGGTGCAACCGATGGGATAGTGGCCAATCAATTGCACCAGCCCCAAATGTCGTCGCTCTACGAAACTCACACAAACGTTAGGAGGTCCATTACAAAGAAACGACTGTATGAGCGTTAAATGTAGCCACTTTCCTCTTCACTAGATGAGCACGAGTCATAATCTACTTGAATAGGATCTGTGATGGTCGCGTAGCCCAGTCGACGGTGTGTGGGGGCACCCGTTGCCACACTCAGGAGGGCCAATAGTGACATGACAATCGCTCCACTATACACGACTACATGCATGTAGTTCGACAGTATCTTCCACTTGGCCGCAACTGAGATGAGCACACCAGGTCGTCGAATAAACATGGGGCTCAAGTAGCATCCGTCGCCTCCTTCGGCATGGCATAGCTGTCCAGCTTGTAACAGCGCGGTGGCAGTAGTGTCGGCCGCGCTACGGACCCACTTAGTGGCCGCAGTTCCATTCTCGAGGTGTACTTGCTGGCTTGCCTTTATGAAGGTGAGGTCAAATGCAGAGGCGTAGCCTGCCACGATGTTTGAGGCATGGGAGCGTTGTACAGACCACCCTCCGCCCACAACACCTCGGACTGTTAACGCACCGCCGTGACCGTTCACACACTGCTGCATCGACTGTGACACCTCCAAACTGATATCATGATCCATTGGATTCATCCACGCCTTGGTGTGCTTGGAGACAACTGCCAAGGACTTGTCGACGACATAGTACACACTCTCGACTTGACCTTCCACGTGGAGTAGGACGGCATCTGCCCCGCAGAGGACCACGATGTCGCTCCTAACTGCGCGAGCTACGGCAGTTGTTTCGGACGAGTTTGTATTCGGGTTGAAGCAGTCGCGGACGATTGGTGATTCGATTTGGATTGCACGCGCCGTCGCAGGTAGTGAGTCGTTGGCTAGCTTGGCCACCGAAAAAAGAGATGATGGCAGCAACATGGTAGAGTGAATCGCGTGCAACGCATTTTCGTTGGGCTGTAGGAGATAGCTGTCGAGACACAGCGACAGACTGGTGTGATGGGGCTCAGAGTAGTGTCCAACTGTGACGTTGTGCTGGTTGAACGACAAGGAACCGTCATCCACGACACTGTGAGTCCATTGGACAAGCGCTTGAATCCATTCGGCAACTACCGTGAGGTCGACTTGACTGGCTTGCGTGCGACTACCTACCGTCGCCACGACCAAAATGGATTTGACAAGCAAGGACGGTCGAAGGAGCATCATGGCAAAGGAAAAGTAACAACCTGTACATGAATACATTCATGTATTGGAAGTCACGTGCTACCGGCCTTTACAAGCAGAAACTGTGCGCCATCGCAAAACTGGTCACTTTAGTGACGGCAAAGGCATACGTTCCAAACATGAAACTGAAGAATTCGCAGTGTACATATGTACTGTGTTTGGGGGTTTCAAATAATGCAGTGGGTAAAAGGACAATATAGTACTTGAAGTACTCCGGAGTGTATACTAGTATTTATTAATAGTAAGTACATATAGTCCTTTTACCCAAAATTTGGACTTTTGTGCTGATTCGCCAAATCTATCGATCAATTCTTTGTTCTACTTACATTTGTTAATACTATTATTAACCCGCCAGGACTGACGCTAATCATCGTCCAGTGTCAGAATAATAGTCATTTCACATAACGTTATGTGAATTAAGTGGCCGCACGGACACTGTTAACACGCAATATCCGGGGTTTACAGTACAGTTTTTGGATTTTAATTGGTCGTATATCGATTGTCTGCCGATTTGGTTGTTCTGCTTATTGAGCACCCAAACTCTCCAATTTCGAATAATCGAGAATAACACTAGTATAGTTAGTCCATACTTGGCAGAATCGCCGACAGATGCCGCTACATAGGGTTTGTTTATTCAAACCGACGAGCGTAAACCATTCAATTTGATATATCTTATGTGTTATATTACATAACTTCGTCAGTCATAAGCACCGAGAGCGCGAGCTTTTTGTGGCGTAGGAGTGTGATGGGGTTGCGGAGGCGGATGACGCGACTGTCGGGTAGGGCGCCGTGGGGTCGGATCGCAAACGCGCGGTAGATGCTGTACTGGGAGCCCTTTTGCGTCGCGCACTCGAGTTCTTGAACGCTCATTTCAAACACGCGCTTGTCATATGTCGACGTGCTCTTGACTTCGATAAACTCGGTGCCTCCACTCTGGTGGTGGATGCAAATGTCGTACGGACGACCCGTCTCCTCGACCTCATTGATCCATTCTACCGATTCGGGGGGGTACTCTGTCCGGAGGAGGTCGTACACGTGTGCTTCCCCCACGCGGCCGATGGCAAACTTGGCTTCATCGGTGAGCGAGTTGGGGCGAAACTGAAACATCCGGTCACCCGAGTCAGAGTGGGGGGGTCGAAGGGCAAAATCCTGGCGCGGACGTTTGGCCAGGGGGAGGTCCAGTGGGAACAACTGCCGCTTCAATGGAATCGGGTCTGGATTTTGGTGGCGATGAGGAGGTGGTTGGAGGGAGCGGGCGACGTGCGGGGCGACGAGGGGCGACCAAAGCAGCGAGACCACCGTCGACAGCACGTCCGGGAACTCGACGGGGGTGTTGATGTACAATTTGAATGCATCAAGCACGGCAGGCTTGGCTTCAATTATTACCCCCGAAGAGGTCCAGTCGTCGGAGCTTGGGGGAGATTGAACGGTGAATGAGACTCTGAGATTCTCGGCCGACCAGCACTGCACCGAGTCCAAGAAAGCTTGAATGGGTGGTTGCTACGCATGCAAATACGATGAGAAACCAGGTCCATATATTATAAACGACTTTTGACGTGCTAGAAACAATATGGACAAAAAAAGCCAATATATTTACAGTCAGTATACATACATATTGCGGATTTGATACAAATTTGGGGAGGGGGTCGCGACGACCAAACCGATCCACAATCGATCTGATTGGTTGAATTTCATTGAGAAGGTTTTGATTGGCTAATAAATTTGAGCTCATCGGAGGTAGCCATTCAAATCGATTTAAATTCCACCGAGAAACCACAACACAATGAAATTTTACTCGAAAGCACAATACCTG